TTAGAGTCTTGGAAACATGTAAATGACCAGGTGTTAATTATTGTGTAAATCCAGGGCCCAGTTTTTACATCAGACATCATAAGAGCCAGTGAGGGGCATTATAGACTCTCAGATTTTTAGGTTTCTTAGCAGCAGAAGTCATCAGTTGTGTAAACTTAGAGCGCAGTGAATGGGAGAGTACTACAAATATTTTTTTACAGTCCTATTTAGTGACAAAATGAAACAAAACACCATCGTAGAGTTTATCAAGACTTAAAAAATAAAAATGTGAGACTGATGATGGCAGCCAGAAGAGAGGATAACGTCACATTTACTCCATAGACGCTGCATTAGAAACACTTTGCATAAGCGATAATTAGTTTTTTGTAATTCGACACAAAGATGATATAATTCACATTATTATATTCATAAATACTAGAAATGTTCATACGTTTTAAAAAAATCTAAATATTAAAAGCTGTCAAGGATTTAACATCTGTTAAACGCTTCATAGTAGTCTTGTGAAAAGTGTCTATAAAAAAAAAAAACAGTAAATGTCCCTAAAACCAGACACTGATTTTTGATTTATTCTGTATAGAAATTTGTATCCGAGTCGCAAAATTAGAATTTGACTAGATCAGAGCCTCTGGCATCAACAAGAGATTTAAAACAATGTTTTGAAAAGCTTATTATACTACAAGTTTCATGTTAGCTGTTGCACTTTTTTCTTTGTTTAAAAACCAGACTTGTCAAAATTATCCCTGTAGAGACAACTACAATATTTATTATTTTCCAGTTTAGTAGTTGTAGATGACACTTTGTATAGTAATGCCACACATACACAGCTACAGTCCTGTAAGTTTATCGTGTACTAAACAATTAAAATGCATGCCAGGACATACCCATTTTCTCAAAAATGGCATTTTTTGTAGTTTACATAGAGACAAGAATTGCATTGAAATTGCAAACTCGACCCTTAGAAAACATTGAAAGCGGTCCTATAAATTAATGGGTAAAACCATTTTACAAATGTTTTATCTCAAAAACTATTTTGTGTAAATGTCCCATGAAAACATAATTTCTCAAAACAGATCCTGTCTAACCATACAAACCTCTAACCCTATATTAAATTATTGTTTTCACATCTGTAATCTTAACCTGTTTGCATGATTTAAGTCTTATTCTGTGTATTGGCTGCATGATTTAATATTGCTTCTGTTTTTCCATCACTCTCCATAACTGTTTTGCAGTATTTTCTGTTTGTTGATGCAATACTTATTTATTAAACTTATTCAAAAATAATAACTTATTAAAAATTATTTAATTTATTAATTTATTTATTTTTTGCTTTTGAGTGTCTGTTTGTTTGTTTGCTTGTTTGTTTGTTTGTTTATTTTGTTTTCAATTTCTGGACCAAGATAAATTGACAAAAAAACTGTGGATCTTCACTTACTGCCAGTTTTTCAGCCTGCATCTCCTGTAACACGCAGACACTCCAACAATGTGAGTGTAAGAACAGGGCTTGTAGGTGTACCATGTTACCCTAGCAGCTTGTGCACACATACACACACAAATGAATGTGAACTCCATATGGTAGACCTAAAAGATATTTTCGCTGCTTTGCTGTCTTGTGGTACAACTGCTTTTTTCAGTTTAAAAAAGAAAGAGAGAGAATTTACTCCTGCCATGTGTCATCAAGTAGGTTTCGGCTGTTTGGGAAAACTGAGGACAGAGAGAGCAAGTCCAGTGAATCTGAGTAATATGAATGCAAATGAGAAAGAAAGAGTATTGTGTGGCATGATTTTATTTGTAAGATACAAGTTTGATTGGTTAAATTTAACTGAAATTGAATTTAATATTTGTGTATGAGTTAAGCAAGTTTATTTTTAAAGTTCATTAACTGATTCATGTCTTTTACACTGTATTAAATATTCTTTCAATTGGTTTTTGATTAAACAAGTAAATTGAGGAAATAATCTTGTATTTTTATGATTGTTTCTTTTATTTATGGCATCAACAGGCTCGATTAATACCACATTTTGATAAAGATTTATTAAAACATTAAAACAAATCACGCAAGTATGAGTTTCTATATTGGTTGGCTAGATTTGAAAATGTCCCTATCAATTTCATAAACATAGCTACAACCTTGATAAATAATGAGGAATGACACTGAGAATGGGCATTTTCAGGTCAATGTAATGTACCTCTTGAATAAAATTTCCTCATCATGTAAGCTGCCAGAAAATCTGATATATAAAAAAGTTATTTTTTTGACATTCCTTCTTGTCGGTAGATGGGAGGTACGATAGGCTGATTATTCCTTCGGTAGTTGGGACTAGTGTTGTTTCAGCTTATGTGTGATTGTCTCAAATGACACCATTACCATGTCTGGATGGTTAATGATCGGCCGGAGGGGAAGAGGAGAACAGCGCAAGGTGAGAACACACATGAACCAGGCTCCGTTCTGCCCCAAATCACTTCTGACACCTCAGAGAGGCCCTGTGCATTCAGGCCACTGCACTGCAATTACTCACGCAGTAATGGCATAAATAGCTTTCTCATCATATACGCTAACTAGCTAAGGACTCTGGATCTGTGATTGCGTTCCCCTGGCCAAAAGCTTTCCTCTATCCAAACTGATTTCAGATCAGCAGCCATAGATTGTAAATGGATTGTAAATAGGCCCTGAAATAAGTTACATTATACATGTGATGCAGGTGTTAACAGATGTTTCATGCAAGTGTGCTTTCCTTGTTTTGGATAAGTAACATTTTATGTAAATACAGTGATTATTTGTCTTTGGTGGATGGAGTTTTGGGCTTCAGTTGGGGGAAAATCAACAGTTTTTGAGTTTTGGAAATTTTGAGGTTTTGAATGTAAAAATCAGAAGCTCGTTCATTAATTAATTAATTAATTCATTCATTCATTCATTTTTTTTCTTCTGCTTAATCCCTTTATTTATCAGGGGTGGTCACAGCAGAATGAAACATCAACTTATCCAGCATATGTTTTACGCAGCGATTGGAACTGAGATGTCCTAGCTGCAACTGAACAGTCACATTATCTATGATTAAAGTGTGCACCAATTGGGAAGGTAAAATGCAGTGTGAGTGCAGGCTGTCGGGGGAGAGGGGACAATCGCGCTTTGTCATGGTTCAAGGCAACTGTACTTAGTGAGAGTACGCCCTAGGTCTTCCAGAAGCTCCGGGATTCATAGTGCTCCTGGATGCCAGTGAATGAGATATAATGTCCTGGAAATGGAGGCAAACCATTTAAACTTTATCTTTGTATGATCCAACACCCCCTGCCTGCTCTTCATCTTGCCACTTATGGAACAGGCCTCCAGTGGGACCCTTCTGCAAACAACTTTGGCTAGGTTGGGATGTCTGAGATACTAAAGTTCTGAGCTTTTAAAAAAAATGGGTATATGTGACCTACTGAGACCCTCTTCTCACTTCTGTTTACTGCCACCAACCACTGTCAAGTACATCTTGTCCTGTTATTAGAGTTTTTCTCAGTGGCTTTAGTGCATTTCTCACAATTCTATTTACATTTGCACAACAGTTAATGCATTTCTCAAAACAATTAGTACAAACTGCAAAACCTAGTTGAAAACCTGCAAAAGCGCGCCACGTGCTCAAAATGGAGAGCTCATTCCTCAAAAGCAAGTATTCATGTCAATGAAAGTGTCAGTATCATCAAGATGAAAAGTCCTGACACCATTGTTTATGAACAAGATAGTTAAATGGCTTTGTCGTGTTTTTATTATGACAGTTTACTCTCTACATTTTTTCCAATGCAAAAAAGTCAGATTTTGGTGACACTTCCTGAAAATGCTCAAGACAGCACAAGATACTATTTACACAGCCATTTTAAAACTTCAGTAAAGTTAGACATCACTGCATTTAGTGAGGTATCTGAGTATGAGACACTGAAGATGAATGTTTCACATTTTTACTGCATATGCTCTTTGCAATTCTAATTTATTCACAGCATCGTGCAAAAAGAACACCCTTATTTACAACAAACATAAACTTCCTTTGGGTAGAGCTGTGTGCAACTGTAAACAACATTGCAGTTCATATTGGAACTGAACCTACAACATACACAGGTCTGTAAATCGTTCATGAAATTGTTCAGTTTAGAAGGCATTTTTCAGAAAAAAAAGATTTAAAATCTTTATAAAATTAGCTTGACAGATTTTGACAGCTATTTCAACATTTTTGTATATAATGACTCAAGTAATGAAATGAGGACTATTAGTTTTATATGGAATGACTATTCAGCATTTACAAGTTTAGTTAGTTTTGACTGACACAACAAGCAAATTATTATGTTATAAAACAGCAGAGAGTTGTATAAAAGCAATCGATGCATGTCCAAAAGCATTTGCAATTTGTTGGAAGGAATGATAAACTGCTACTATGATGTGCACAAATGACTAATTGTTTTGAGAAATGCATTAACTGTTGTGCAAATGTAAATAGTGTTGTGAGAAATGCCCCAAAGCCACTGAGTAAAACTGTAGCAATATTTATTCTGAGATCAGTGGACAACATTGTCTATTTTTCCTTGAAGACCAAGGATTGTCAGTCTAAGCATATTATTAACATCTCTTTTGTTTTATTATTCCCAGTCTTTAATCTACTTATTGGTTTACAATATTTCACTGCTTTCTTCTATTGCTGGTTTGGTTAGGACCACTACTGTGAATGTTATTCCATGACTGTATTGCTCTTAAAATCTACTATTGGCTGGCTATGAACTGTGGAGTGTTTTCATTGGCTGTGGAGCAGTTCCGCTCTAGCACTCTCTCACCCAGTAGGGTGCTCTGTTAGTGCGAGACGTGCTTTGGATTTATCGCTTTGATAACATTCATAAAACTGTGTAGGGCGTCCCCTTTCTTCCTGTATGCTATCCACAAACCTTTTTTTGCCTTCATTTTTATGTGCAGCTTTGATTCTCGTATTACTGTTTGTCTTTCTTCTTAACAGATTTTGTCTCAAACTTCTCCACAGAGCCGCTCTAAAGGACTGGTTTTCTCAGGGATCCAGCCCACAGGTATTCCTCACTTAGGGAACTATCTCGGAGCGCTAGAAAGCTGGGTGGCCCTTCAGGATGATTACAGCACAGTCATGTACAGCATCGTAGACCTTCATTCCATCACTCAGCCTCAGGACCCTCAGGTGCTACGAGATAATATCATGGACATGGCTGCCAGCTTGTTGGCCTGTGGAATCGACCCGACACGCTCCATACTTTTCCAGCAGTCTCAAGTGAGTCCTACATTAAAGTCCCCATGAACTGGAAGCTGCGACCTTTTTTTTTTCCCTATTGTTACACAGTTCCTAGTGAAACTGAAATTTAAATGAGCAAACAGTGGGCTTTTCTTGTTTTTTCTGCTGTGGTCTGAATGGATGTAGTAAAGTAGGCATTTCATTCAGAAAGATCGGCAAAAAGGTTTGAGGAGAGTTTTTACAACTTAACAGACACCTCCTGCTCACCATTACTGTTTGTTGTCAAAACTGACAGTTGGAGGGGGTGGAGTTAAATATGTTAAACACGCCCATTTGCTAAGATAGACTTAATCTGACAAATTAACTGAAAAAAAAACACAGGAAGTGCATTTTCAGATTTCAATTAAACGTTAGAAGAGCAACTTTTTTCCCTTAATGACATGCACAGATGAATTGTTCACAAAACTAGCAATGTGAGCTAACAAAACCTTATGGTTAGTTTAGATTTTTTGGGGACTTTAAAGACTTTCAAGATTTCAATTAAAGAGTGCACCAAAACATTTAAATTGTGTAACTTTTCCTCATGTTGTCCCAAATCACTTGCATCTGAATCATGTGCTTTTTGCAATATGCTGTCACTTTACTGGGGCATAAGGCGTTACTGGTCACCCCTAATCCCCTCACTAGCACATCTTCCAGCAGCAACTTTGTTTTCCTAGGTTGTTACCCATCCAAGTACTGACCATGCCTAACTCTGCTTAGCTTTATCGCGCAACTACTTTCTAAAAATTCTTGGTTGTTTTCACCCAACATTGGGTCAAAGATGGACAATTCAATGTTTGATTAATTTGTTTACATTTTAAACCCAATGATTGGATTTTTCCATATTTTACCCAATGCTGGATTACACCATCCAGGGTTTTTAGAGTGTAGTCTTGGGTTATTAGGGTATATGATATGGCAGTAGTGTGACATGACACTCCTGAAGGCTGATTTATACTTTTGCATCAAGAGCACGTGTATGGTCTGGCGCAGCCTTCATTCGATCGCAAAGCCTCCATTGATGCTGACGCGCACCTCTCAAAAAATGTAACTACACATTGTAACGACGTGTAGCGCAAGATCTGTGATTAGTCAGCTTGGTAGCTGCGCAGAGTGTGAGCAGTGCTGAGAGCTGCGAGCCCAATGGAGCAAATGTTTACTAGAGTCGAGTTCTGTGAAAGAGCTCCAGATGTTTTGTGTTTACTTTATGATTAAAGTTGTTGCACGTCTGCCGGTTCCCGCCTCTAAATGAGCGAGTTTTAGCTACTTGTACATTAAGGTAGCGTCAGGGGCGTTGCTAGACATAGAGCTCTACTGCGGCACACACCCTCCTTCACCATCCCCCGAAAAAAATTTTATAAATACAAAAAAACCCATGTATTATAAATAAATAAAGTGTTGTTGTTATTATACAATTATTATTCTAAATAACAGAAATTAGTCCCTAAATTTAACTAGAAAACAATGTTAAGACACAACTGGAGTGGTATGCTTAGATCATTTATGAATTCTTTTGCATGAATATTAATTTCATTTGAATAAAATTTTATGGACAATACTATAGAATACAAAAAAGAGATGTTTTATAGCATTATCTGTTGTCTTAGACTTGACACATGGCAAAGAATTAGGTTTATTAAGTCTTAACTCCCTGACTCGTCATCCCTCCTTTTTGCTTCATACAAAATATATTTATCAGTAGACATGCTTAGTAAGGTCACTTTCTTATTATTATAACTTTAGTTTTGTCGACTTGCAAAACTCACTGCGTGTTGACACCTCTGCATAAAAGGCTGTTATGCCGGTTTCACAGCGCATGAGCGGTGCGTGAGCAGCAAGCAGCAAGTTTCGGCATGCTTGTTAACAACCAGGACTCGCACCGAGAGAAAAAAAACGTGTAAGGGTTGAGCAAGAGCGGTGTGTGAGGTGCATGAGTATGTTTTTCTGCTCACGCGGAAATGCGTCAGTTTGCTATATGATTATATTACATTGCTTTTATCAGCGTTGGTTAGGTTGCACATTGAGAATAATGTCTTTATTTCAGAATTACTACTCTTAATAAATACACTTGCATATGAAGTAAATCATATCTCAATGCATTTACTGGGGCACTGGTGATTTTTACTGGGGCAAAATTGGGTCTAAACTGGGTCTAGCGACGCTCCTGGCTAGTTTTCAAAAAAGAAAACACTTATGGAGAAACTTAATACCGATGAACATAACAAAACCTACTGCCAGCTAGCGTTTCAGAAAATAAATAGCACACAGAAATAATAAATGCATGGCTACACGCAAGACATGTGCCGTGGGTCAGGCCGATTGCTTGACGCAAAAGTATAAACCACCCTTCAGTCTCATGGGTTCTCGCAAACCAATGTGAAGCAATTAAAATACACAGTAATGATATATCTTTATTAACAATGTATGTAGATATGTGCTTTGTATTAAAAGCTTGATTAATGTGTCTCATTATATTCTGTGCTACATAGATATTTCTCAATTTTTTTTTCAAACATTAATGTTGGTTTTGAACAAAATAAAGGTAAATGATTGCAGAAATGTAATGTTTGCTTGATCTCGTAAACCATGTATATCTGCTTCTAGTGATATATTTTTAAAGTGAACAGATCTTTGTTTAATCCTGCTGCCTAAACATGTCAAAAAATGTCAGAGCCACCTTTCAAATAACTGCAGAAGCCTCGTTCTATGAAGGCGTCCGTCCGTTTTATTGGCCTCAACTACTGGCAGTCAGCTAAAACATATTTTCCATTCCCAGATATTTATTTAAAGGAGGCGAGTTTTGAATGCTTATTTTACCCAACCGGTTCCTATCTCTACAAATTCTCAAGATGGGGGGAAAACACACAGATTCGTTTTCACGGTTCACTTCAAAGTGACCACATAAAGCAGAATAAGGAGGATAATAATAGATTTTACTGTACGCAGCAACTCGCTAGCTGTCCGGCACGTTTTCTCTGGAACTGAGCAACTTTTGAAGGGTAGCTATAATAAGTGTGGACATGTTCTTCCTCTCAGCCACCTGATATGCTTTCAACTGTGTGTGTTTGTGTGTGTTGTGCAGCAGAGTGAAAGTGTGTCGGCCGGGTTTTTTTTGTGTGTTTTCTTGCAGGAACTTTGCAGCGAGCATGTAAAAACACACATGCACACACTCCCACTCCCCCTGATTTTATTCCATTTTAGCTTCATGCCACATATCTTGGCAAGGCTGAAGACCTCCCATCGAACATACGAGCTTAAGACTGTTCCACATGTGAAAATAATACCCTGGCCCAAGGAAAACACTTGACTTCACTGAAAAAATCATGACAAGCTAAAATCAATCGGATCTTAAGCATTGAGCTTAGTGTTTAGAGCTGTATGTGCATTTGGGATATATTGCACTAGAACTTTTTTATTTATTAAAGGAATAGTTCACCCAAAACTGAAAATAACCTTAGCCTTTGCTTGTTCCAAACTGTTTCCAGCTTTCTTCAAAAAATCTTCTATATCTTTCTTTTTAACAGGACAAAGAAAATCAAAAATATTTGCAACCACTTGAGTATGAGTAAATACTGAGTAAATTTTCATTTTTAGGTGAACTATCCTTTTAAAATTCCAAAACCCAGAACGATTTAATTTTCAAGAATCATGATTTTATTATTTTAATTTATTTTAACACTTGTGTGTCTGAGGAATAATCCATTTTTATTTGGCTCTCTATTTTTTCACTCAGTCTTTCTTGGTCTCAGATATTTGCAATAAGCTTGGGCATTATCCAAATTTTGAGACCGTCAAACCTTCTCCCTATTGTACCTCGGTATATGGTATTACTGTGAATAATAAAATTATTCCATAAGACTCAGACAGCATCACCAAACTGTTGGCTTGTGACTAAACTGTTCAGAAACTCAAACTCAAACTCTAATACTGAAACAAAAACAAAATAACATGCACAACAATATTAACAACTTATATTAGCAACAAATAGCAGATAATAAAAAAAAAAACTGTCAAACAGAATTAAATTAACATAAACTTCCAGAACAGTTTTTGTGCACACAAATCAATTGTATTTTACCATGTTCTTTGTGAAAAGAGTCCATTTCTTTCTCCAAGTATTTTGTCACTACATCAGTACAGGTTTTCCAACTGACACTGTCCCTTTTATACTTTGTTGTTTTCCCGAAGGCCCCCATTACCATCGGCTGCGTACTGGCGGTGGACTTAGATGTTGTTGGTCTTGCATCAGGAGGCATTGAAACTGTTGCACTGAGTGAACTCGGGTCCATCCTTGAGCAGTTAGTGTATTTTAGTTTCGTATATGAAACTTTAGGTTCAAGGTATTTTTATGTCTCGCTGTCACCTTTTTGTTGCACAAATTTGCAAATTGCCTCATCCGTATTTACCACCTCTCTCTTCTCATTTGGTTGAAACCTAAAATACTGCCAAACTGCAAGAAGTTGTTTATTTCGAGACCAGGTCATTTAGTCCTTGGCTCACCATCTTTCCCCAGCTCTCTCTTTCTCCTCCACACTTTCCCGGTATGATGACCACACATATGCATCTTTAGCCATTAAATAAATTATATTTAATATTTAATCCTTGTATCCCACATAAGTGCATTGTTTTTATGACGGTATAACGGTATTTAAACTGATATCATTTCTATTTTTAGATACCGCAGTATACCGTATTACCGCCCAAGCCTAATTTGCACTCACATAAAGTAGGGCTGGGCTGATAAACGATATTATATCGCATCAAGATAAAAATGAATGTCAATAAAAGTGATGAGATCTGGACTTTTTTACTTTATATTGATTAAGAGCCAATCACACAGCAGAAATGTACTATAATGGGATTCTAAAAGTGTGTTGATATTAGAGATGTACAAAATTTTCGACTACCAAAAACCCTCTAATTTTTGTGGCTCCAGTCATTGTAGGGTTACTCTTTCAAATCTGGAAGCATTAACAACTTATATCGTTATCGTTCAATGTGGAAAATAATTATCGAGATAATATGAAGTCTTCTGAGATCTCCACCAACACTATATCAGATTATTCAGCTGTGAACCCTCTTTGCCGTCATCTTTGTATCCGCTGTCTCACTTTCACATGTAGATTAGCTAGCTGTAATAAATATCTCTTTCAGCACTGTGCCATAAAATCACATTTTATGTTCATTCCTCTTAGGGTTTACGTCAGATGCCTCAGAATCCTTTTGTGAGTATGAGAGATGGCGGCCTTGTCGCCAGCACCCATAAAGTTTAATTCTCTGAAGCAGAACGATTTTGAGGAGTGTTTTTATTTTGAATCGTGTGTGTGTGTGTGTGTGTGTGTGTGTGTGTGTGTGTGTGTGTGTGTGTGTGTGTGTGTGTGTGTGTGTGTGTGTGTGTGTGTGTGTGTGTGTGTGTGTGTGTGTGTGTGTGTGTGTGTGTGTGTGTGTGTGTGTGTGTGTGTGTGTGTGTGTGTGGATCTCTTGGTAACTCTGCAGATTTCACAATAGCAGTTGAAAAAGCGTCATCATATTTTGTAAGGAGAGATGGACTAGTTTGGGTGCTTGTGATAGAGTATAGATCAAATAACGCCTTCATGCTGTGCCACTGTGCACCTGTTGGTAGGTGGGAAACATCTTGTTCTTTTCACTGCCACATAGGGGCGCTACGAAGATGCCTAGATTGTGTGTAATGAACTTTCACTGTTTTAAAAACAATGGATTCATTTCATGACAATAGGTCTAGTGTTACTGAAGTGTCCTCAAAATAAAAGCTTGTGTGCCAAGTTCTATTATTGTTTTGATGTTGGATTAATAAAGGAACTTTAAAAAGTTGTAATATATGAAAAACATTGTAAAAAATAATGTTCTATTAGAAATTACTTGTTATATTCAAAGGGAATAATACAGAAATTCAGTATCACACAGCTATTAAAGCAATATATATATATATATATATATATATATATATATATATATATATATATATATATTTATTTTTTTTTTTCTTGTAAAATGTTTGTATTATTTGTTCCCCTGTATTTTGTTTCTACAAATATTCATGTATTCATTTGTTATTTTTATATTTGGTTTGATTTTCAAGATAAGCAATTGAAATTAATTATTAATGCGTAAATGAAAAATTTCCAGTTCATACAGCTCTAGATGATAAGAATTATAATAATAATGTATACTAATTTACATTTATATGGTGCTTTTCTGGACACTCAATGCGCTTTACACATTTTTTGGGGGAATCTCCTTATCCACCACTACTATCTGATTTCTACATTTTTTTCATTTAATAGTTGTGTTTTGAGTAAAATGTTCAACTACTGATGACATGTATAAAAAAATGTGTCAAAATGACATTAAAAGTTCAAATTACTCAATAATATAAAACAAATATTTGCTGAAAATGACTGGTCAGTCTAAAACATTCCATATTTTTAGACCTTAAATATAGAGGAAAATGCACATATGCACAATTTATGTATACTTTATATATGTATTTCCCTAATGTCCATGGAAACAGTAATAACTTTAAAGTGGTCTTTTTGTTTTTCTAGAACTAAAAGTTGAGTAACTTTTAATGTTTTTCTCAACAAAATTAAGAAAAGGAATCCTTTGTTTGATCTGTGCAGGTCTCAGAACACGCCGAGCTCTCTTGGATTTTGGGCTGTCTGACCAGCATGCCTCGTTTACGGCACCTGCCTCAGTGGAAGGTAATTACAACATTTCTGGAAACACTTTAACATACAGACCACTTCTAACTATTAACTTGTGGCTTATTACCTGCCTATATTACCATTTTGGCTGTTTATTAGTATTTATAAACCACATATTCTGAATGATCTTATTCTACATTCCTAATTCTACCTAATACATGAACCCAACTACTATATTAATAGCCAATAATAAGCATCAAATTAGGAGTTTAAGTCACAGTTAATGGTTTATTAATAGCAGGAATTGTAATTTAAAATAAAAATGTGACCATAGTTTTTTACAAAGACAAGTTTTTATCTTCCTCTGATTGTCAAATAATAAATAAAAAGCATGATAATTGGAGATTGTAACATGCCAACCTAAATGCACCTAATTATAACAATTCTGGTAACACTTCAGTATAGAGTCCAATTTTCACTAGTGGCCACTACTAGAGGCTTAGTACCTGCATATTATTAACATTTTGGCTGTTTATTAGTATTTATAATCCACATATTCTGCTTGATCTTATTCTGCATCCGTATCCTACCCAATACTTAAACCCAACCACATTAACAACCAATAATAAGCAGCAATTTAGGAGTTTGAGTCATAGTTAATGGTTATTAATATCGATTAATGGTTAATAATAACCATAGTTAATGGTTAATAATAAATATTAAGCAATAGTTTTTTTATCTGCTCCTGATTAAGTCAAATAATAAATTAATGAATAAAATGTGATATTAGATGATAAATATATTGTACATATATGTACACATACTGTATGTGCATATATATGTACATATATTCATCTATTGTAAATCTCCGATCATAGTTAATACAACCTGTATATAATGCTCATCCATCTGTAAATATTACCCATAGTTTTTCTATAATTGCACTTATAAACTATTATAAACTTATACCTATATCCTGCACTTGCTGCTATTGCACTCCTGGTTAGACCTAAACTGCATTTCATTGACTTGCATTTGTACATGTGTAATGACAATAAAGTTGAATCTAATCTAATCTAAACTTTTATTAGGAGATGGTAACATGCCAATTTAAATGCTCAGCCATTCCTCCTTTGTTAGTTGTCTATGTGGCACAGCGACAGACTTTTCCCTGTGCCGGTCAGGGGGTGTAGGAGGACCTGGCAGGGAGAGACAGGGCTTGATAATGACTGTGATTCACCCAGTGAGGACAACCCTTTTATATTGCTGCTGACGGAGTGCTCGGCCAGAAGCCTCCCACCGCTGCAGGGAAAACACCTAGCTGTTTACTCAACAGCTGAGTGCATGTGAAACGTGGCGGAAAGCGGCCTTTGGATGCTGCCTGTGTGCGTTAATGTGGCAAAACTACTTCATTCAGGGACACTGAGACACCGCATGATGTTAGACCTCATTGTAATAAGAAAACAAACACACATTTGCAGCCAAATGTAATGAAAGGTGCTTTAGATTTATTTCAGACTTTCCCCTCTGCGCTTACCAGTGGTCAATCCTCAGTTTCTTTTCCTCGCAGATGAAAAGCAAGCAGAAGAATGAAGGCAGTGTGGGGCTTTATACATATCCGGTGTTACAGGCTGCAGATATTCTGCTCTACAAGTATGACTCGGCTGGGCTCTTAATATGTGTTGTTCTATTTCCAGTTTTTGTTTGAGAGAGAGACTGATGTTATTGTTGTGCAGATCCACACATGTGCCAGTAGGGGAGGACCAGATCCAGCACTTGGAGCTCGCCCAGGACTTGGCCCGTATCTTTAACAACCAGTACGGAGAGTTCTTCCCTGAGCCTCGTGCCCTGCTCAGTATGTTTGGACGTTCTCGTTTTTTACCTCATGACTTTACATACATTATAATAATGAACATGCACAATACTGACATAGTGGGCACTCAAAAAAAACATGATTATTTATTGTTAAAACTATTAGAGTGCATTTTAGGAATATTCACACTGTATCCGCAGTAGTGTCTAACCACGCCAAATGCTTGGAGACTTTTATAGGTTAAAAGTTTAAACATTAACATTTTTAATTTACTTGATCTACTACATGACTAAAAGTTCTGCGACTATTTGGCTTTATATATTCTTTTTAGATGATGTTAGTTTCTTAGTTGATGCTTCACTCAAAAAATATTTTTGCAGCTTGTTCAAACTACTTATTTAAAAGGAGCTGAAACAACACAATTCTGGAGTGTTTTTGGGAAACGGAATTATTTAATTGTTGTTATATTAACTTAATTGATTTGTGTTTGGACAACAAGAATGATTTGTGTGGAACCCTAAAAATTTTTTTTTGTGTATATAATGCTAAATATGGTTTAAACTCGTAGTCGTAATCTGATTACAAGACATAATTGCTTTATTAAATGGAGTTAATAAAAATAACTAATTTAAACTAAAAGTAACATAGTTACTGGCTTTTTCTCACTGTTAATTTTAATACATTAGTTAACATTTACTAATGAGACTTTATTAAGTGTTACCTATTGTTCTTTATAGTCATTTTGCTGTTTTATTTGGTTAAAACATTTTAACTCTGAACTTTTTGACACAATAAAGCAATAGCAGCTTTTTTATTTTATTTTATTTATTTATTTATTTTTTTATACCGGTTATGAAATTAAAGCACAAAGTATATTTGATTTTGTTAAGTACAGATTTAGCCACTATTTGTGCATTTTCTTTGCAAATGTAATGGCTTTGCACTAGTTTGGAATTGTTACAAACATTTTCTAAACAGTTGATGTCAGAATCCAAAAGTTTAATTGACTGCGAGTTCCCTTGGTAGTTTTATGTTTTGGTTTTATATTGTAAAATTGTGTTTTATAAAATCCCCCGGAATTATTAGCCCTCCTGTTTATTTTTTCCCCCAATTTCTGTTTAACAGAGAGATTTTTTTTTAACACATTTCTAATCATAATAGTTTTAATAAGTCATTTCTTCAATAACTGATTTATTTTATCTTTGCCATGATGACAGTAAATAATATTTGGCTAGATATTTTTCAGCTTAAAGTGACATTTAAAGGCTTAACTAGGTTAATTAGTTTAAATAGGCAGGTTAGGGTATAGGCAAGTCATTGTATAACGATGGTTTGTTCTAAAATGACCTGAAAATGGTGTTTGAATTTTTTTTAACTGCTTTTATTCTTGTCGAGATCAAACAAATAAGACTTTCTCCAGAAGAAAAAATATTATCAGACATACTGTGAAAATTTCCTTGCTCTGTTAAACATCTTTTGGGATTTTTTTTTTTTTTTTTTTAAAGAAAAGAAAATTCAAAGGGGGGCTAATAATTATGACTTCAACTTCAAGATGGTAGTGTTGTAATTTCTTTGTAAGCTGCAAAACAAGATTTTTAAGATTTCTGTCGTCACACAAATGTTTTTGCTTGACAACTAAAACAATTATGGTGGTCGACTTTTTCCAATCATTCGGGGATTCTTTGCTAAAAGAAATAACCGCCTGCTTGTGTGGCATAAATTTACAACATTTCTAGTCATTTTGAATTGTCTCTGTATGTTTTGACAAATTAGTTGTCATTACACTAAACATTACAAAGATTCTAATGAAACCTGTTTACGCTTGTACTATTTCCCTTGTGTTGTTAAATGATTAATAATAAAACTGATTTTTATAAGGGCTTATATTACAGCTAAACAACAACAAAAACTTTCTCTAGAAGAAAAAATATAGGAAATACCTTTTTCTTGTTTTTTTTAAAACATATTTAGAAAGGTAAGTATGGAAGTATTTGATAAATAATTAAAGATGAAAAATTTTGAGTGTATATGCGTACAACCAAATTTTATTTTGGTTTTAACTTCCCTATTTTAATAAATTCTCATAAAAATTCATCTGGGCACAACATCTAAAAAGCTCAAAGGTATGACAAATTACTCTGCCACTGAGCAAATGCACAAATGAGTCTAGTCTGTGCTCTCGGTTGTATTCTTGAGCTCCCTTAATTCTTCACTGTATTTTACACTCTCAAAATGACATACCCTTTGCACAATAAGTGTACGCACACATGGCTGGCATGTTGGACCGTCGGTCTTTCATTCTCTATAATTATCGCTGTCATAAAAGCACAATATGAAACCAGTCATGTGTGCAATGGCGCTTTGATTAAAGGAATGTTCTCTTCCTCCTCTATCTGAGTGATGGGGTGATAATGGATCTGGGGAGTTTCCCCTATATATGACTTCACAAAGGACCGGTTCTCGTTGCTCTTCTTACTGTACATGTAAAGGAAGACTGCGTCTGCATCCTAGTGCCAAAGCTGAAGCCAAACAATATCTGTTGTCCTGAAACCAAATCAAAGATAAAACCATTATGGACCATCTGTGTTGTGATATTACAAAGAAATAATATTTACACAACCCAGTTGCTTTCCAAACATGCGTCATTTCAGTCTAATTGGAGTTTGACTTGTTGGTTTTGTGTATTGGGAGTTTACTGAAATAATTTTTATGCTGCATTTTTTTAATCAAACATACAATTAATATAATATTTATTGATAATTATGTAAATATTATTACAATTTAATAATGTTATTTATTCCTGATGTTAAATTAATTTGATTAGTTTTAAGTCTCCATGACCCTTCACGAATCTTTGTAATATTGTTTATTCTATAATGTTATAGATATATTCTATAATATATAGATATTAATATTAGTGCTAAAAACTATTAATTATTATTATTATTATTATTATTATTATCTTTTGGATACTAAAGTTTAAATGAGCAATATTTATATGAAAGTAAATCTTTTTTAAAACGTAATAAATTAATTTTATGTCAGTTTGAATCAATTTAATGTGTCCTTTTGTACAATACAGTGGTAAACATTTTAATCAAAATCAAAGTGTTCCTAAAACTATTGAACAACACCCATTCTTGAATTGGGACTATTTTGACAAACAATTTTGATCCACTTCCAATGTTATTGAGTACTGAACCAAACATTGAAACAAAAGTGAATAACAAACGCACGGAAATATTCTAAATATTTCACTTTTCTGCTTGTTACTGTAACTCTCAGGTGGCACACGCAAGGTAAAATCTCTCCGGGATCCGTCCTCAAAGATGTCCAAATCAGACCCCCAGAGGTTTTCTGCAGTCTTCCTGACCGACACGCCTGATGACATTGCACTGAAGATCCGCAGAGCCGTGACTGACTTCACTTCAGAAGTGACCTATGAGCCCGATACTCGACCAGGTGTATCAAACCTGGTCTCCATGCATGCAGCTGTGTCAGGACAGACCATAGAAGGGGTGATCAGGCTGGCTGAAGGTATGGACACTGGACAATACAAGAATATGGTGGCCGAGGCTATTATAAAGAAACTGCAACCCATTCGGCTGGAGATCCAAAGACTGAGGGCCGACCAGGGCTACCTTGAGAGTCTCTTAGCCCAAGGAGCAGAAAAGGCACGTAGCCTTGCAGCTCCTGTAATGAAGGAAGTGAGAAAACTACTGGGCTTCTATTAAGGCCATTTGTTTTAAGATATTCATAAACTGTGAGATGCAACACAAACATATCTTTGTCTAAGAGTCATTTAGTTTACCAGTAAGTAAATTACACAGCTGTCATCACAGCCTGTTCAAACGCTCAGTTAATTGTACTTTTTTGTCTGTTTTTATTTATTTAAAGCAAAATAAATAACCTTTTTATTTATTGGTATATGAATAAGGTGCATTGAAAATAATTTTCTGTCTCATGCATGCCTCAACACACACATGCTGAGCAGGAAAAACTTACTGCCAGTCCAGAAGTGGAGGAAAACTCTTGCCAAATTTTGCTTGGATGATATAGTAGACACTTCATACATGCGGTACATGTGTGACCAGAGTAAAATGGCATTTAGTGCTTGTGTGAGGATAATGTCTCAGTTGTATTGCATTGATTGCAGAATTTGGCAAGAGTATATCTATTTATTGTTGTGTGATATATTCCACCGAAATATATTGCCATAAACAATATTATTGTCATTTTAACACCATTTTATGTACTCAAAAAATATTTTTTCAATATAGTTGATATATTGACTATTATGACATGATGTAGTTGATTATTGTGACAGGCCTACTATAAGATTGAATCTTTAAGCAGATGTCAAGACCAACTACTAGGCAAAAAGGAATATGTTTTAAAAGTTTATGTTTTAAAGCAGAGTATGTTTTAATGTTTTCATTAGTTTACTCATCCTCCACTTGTCACAAACCTGTTTGAGTTTCTTGAGAAGAAGATATTTTGAAAAATGTTGGAAAATGGTTTTGGCTTCCATTTGTTTTTCCTACTTTGGATTTAATGGCTACCCGTTTCCAACATACTTCAAAATTTCTTCTTTTGTGATGTAGAAATATACGTTCAAAGATTTGAGACCACTTTATGCCCATTGAATAGTTTTTTTAATTTTTTTTGATGAAATATTCGTTTAAGGCAGGACTGTAAATATATGTTAGAAAGGTTTCATTTATTTCAGATTATACAGTCTGAAGGCATTTTCACTTCAAGAGCGGTTCATATAGCTAGCATTAATACTAAATTCAGGATGTTGTTGTTTGCACGTTCAGCGATTCTGCTTCTTTAAATGCTCGAGCTTCTTCCATACAGCAGGTTGGATTCTGATTGGCTGTCAATGTTTTTATCGTTCTAAAACAGATTCCAACCATTTCCTCTGTCCTCTATCATTAGAGTTGTGATGTGGACTTTGCTGTTCTTTTAAATGTACAACCGTTTTTTCGAACTGCATCTTTATCGTTTACTTATTGTCCTTAGAGTGAAGCGGACGGGCCCTCAATTGGGTAAGATTAACCTACTGTTGCAGATTTTATATCCAATTATGCCCGAAACTTTTTACAAATAGGCCTAATTAATTTATTAAAAATTAAATTTGTCATTCAATGTGATGTGTCTATATTTAAATGCAATAAAAAGCGAGTAGCCAAATAAAAATCTCTTAAAGTAGGAAATAAGGACTTAATATCTATTTTAATATATATTTGAAAGAATTAATACAACCAGACAAAAAAGATTGCAGACAAGACGTTCACATTCATAACCCAGGAATGGATTTGTTGTGCTATATATACACATTAAATTGGGCAGTATTTCAAATCCCAGGTCTTTCATATAGGCTACTTCATTTTAGTAAAAAAAAAAACATTTTCTTATACTGACTGCGAAGAAATAATCCTGAAAGAACCCATCGTAAATCACAAAAATAGAAAACATTTAACTCTACACGCATTTCCTCTGATTCTTTTAAATTTCAATTGAACAATTTTCCAGCGTCATGTACTGCACAAGCATGCATTATTCTCCAAGCCGTGTTCTGAGGTCAATTTACTGGAGAATTTAGGTGGGGAGTTGATTCGTTCAGGGCATTTAATAATCATTCAAACTAAATGAATAGTTTGTTTTGTGCTCATTTTCTCGTTCTTCATAATGTAGAATGACTGAATTGCGAGGAACAGTCGCTTATTATTTGACAGCATATTCAAGTTACTCTTTGCTTTGAAGTGTCATTCATTTTTGCCCTGTTCAAATGCGCTATTTTTAGCTGAAGAGATTTGTGCCAGTGTTGTAAAGCTGGTATAGTCCATACGCGCGGCACAATTGAAATAATACTCAAAGTGCAAACATACTTGAATTGCGACGTATGTGTTATATAATAATTCTTGTGCTAATCGAATGCAGTGCTCTGATAAAACGAGTGTGTGTTGAGTTAGTCGAGTAATTGCTCATGTGATGTCAATGACGAGAGAGTTTTTTGGAGGGCAAGTGTCACCCTTGTTCTTTCATTTTGGCAATAAATCCCATGGATATATTGCATTAAATAACAATTTAAATTTGTTGTCACGCCTGACATTTTCTTTATAACAAAAACCCCAATTTTTGATTTTTTTTAATCAATCGACAATAAAGCCGAGTACGATCCAAAGAGATATTTTAGGCTACATTGGACCAGTTTTTTTTTCTTTATATATATATATATATATATATATATATATATATATATATATATATATATATATATATATATATATATATATATATATATATATATATATATATTATTATTATTATTATTATTATTATTATTATTATTTTGACTTTTTAAATTCGATGCTGATTATATTCTTTTATCCTAATAATAATGTCTATATTTTATTTTGCCGTGACATTCAGATCAGGACTACGCGTATATAACTATTAGCACAAACCCACAATTTTAGTTAAATATAATTAAAACAGTAATTAAAACAACAATTAAACATTCATTAAAATAATTAAGAACTTCTTTGATTTGTGGTAAAAAGCGCACAAAAATATTGTATTTTATGCATTTTAAATATATCGTGTATAATGTGCATTTTAAATAAATAATATATATATATTTAATTATAAAAATTATAATTATAAAAAAGTCGTTACTGATGAAATGCAAACAGGTAAAAAAAAATCTATTCGAAAATAAAATGGCAGTCAAACTTGGGTTAAACTAAATTAAATTAGTCGAGTAAATCAAACAAATTAGCTAGTTATATTCATGCCTGCTTGGTAAATTCGAAAATAAATGTAGATGTGCCAGTAAGGCTGATACACGTAAAAGAAAATTTGTCTTTGTAATTAGCCTAAAAAATAATAATATACAATAATAAAGGGAAGTTACTATGAACTTTTAATCACTTTGTTACCCCACATATAGAAGTTAGTCTATATTTTACCCAATTTGGGTTTAAATAGTGCACATTATTGAGTGTGTAAAATGTTTGCTTTATTTCCTTAATCATTTTCTTCTGTTTTTCATGTATTAATTTAAAATGTTGTTAAATGATTAATCATAATACTCGTTTCTAGTGTTTTCTAATGTAATTTTGTGATTTAGATTGTGGGCTATTACCTTTTTTATATATATTTTTTGTTATTTCAACCCATTGGCTCATTAAATTGTCTTTTTATTTTATGTTGTCCTTTCGGCAATACAATAACATAATCGTTATTTTGCTACATTAGAGATTATAAGCTGAACACTGATGAAAGTATTCTTAATTACAAAATAACATTGTAATTAATTTGGAAACACCGATAAGACGAAACACCACTGGTTTAACCGTATAACTCTAGCTAACGTGTCATAATCCCCTCGCTTTTGCACTGCAAAGATAAACCGAATATTTCATTTATGTTTTCAATTCATATAGCAACCTCGATTTCGGAAGCCAGCAAGACTCGTGTTAACTGGCCTTGACACTTTTATATGAACCTTAATTACATCCGTAACAGTAATTTTACTTATGTAAATTAAATCAGCATAGCTAATTTTTTCCCCAAAAAATCTATATTACCTAGAATTGTAATTAGTGTTTAACTAGGAAACTGGTGGGGTGGTGATGGTTGATTGTGGAGAGAAATTATGTATTAATAAGTTTTAAATAATTAAATGTACAATTTGTGCTGTTTATCAAATTGTATAGGCCTATTGATTTTAAGCAGTAAAGGAACTATATTAATATCAGCCATGGAGAAAATGTAGGCTATAAGTTTAGACATTAGGGAAAGAAACAGAATTTGCATGCGTATTTCTTAATCATAAACAAATAGACATGTTTAAAGGTCAAACAAATTTTACGATGACCCTGTGCTATAACAGAAACTGTAGAAATACATATTGTTAAATTAATTTGTCACGGATTTCGATTTTAAAAAGGATTAGGCTATTATTTTCATTCATTGAAGAATTTAACAAAAACACACGTTTTAAGGAAAGGTAGCCCTTTATCTGCTTGTTAAATCGAATGAGGTTAATTCCCAGTAAGATGGCCATCTCCAAATTCCAGCTCAGAGTTCCTCCACCATGCTTATTTTCCTCCTCTTCCATTGGACATCATATTTTGGCTCTTTCTCTTCCCGCGCCTCCCATTGGTCGCGCTGGGTTTGACAAACAGCAAAAGGGTTGCCCTTAACGCTTCGAAAAAAAGTTTTCCAGAAGTGAATATCAATCAGAGAGGACTCAACGACAGAAAAAGAGACGTAGAGAAGTTGGAAGGAGACGAAAAACATTGAGCTATATTAGCAAACTGTCTTCTCGGACAAGGTTTTGAGCCGTAGTCCGTACGTTGAGAATGGGTTCTTTTATTTTTAAGCCTTTACAAGGCATACATTAGACTTGGGCTTGGATTACCGTCGTCACCGGAGACCTAAATCCACCCGTTATAAACATTTTGCGCGTGCGGCATTCTTGCGCTGCCGCCCGGACGGAGTTTCTATTCGCCCTTCGTTGGATTTGCAGTGGGAGAGATGAGTGACAGGAGACGGTCCGCTGCTGCGCTGAGTTCACGAGCGCACGCCTTCTCGGTTGAAGCCCTGATCGGGACAAACAAGAAGCGGAAGCTTCGTGGCTGGGAAGAAAAGGAGCTGGAGCTGTCTATGGAGAGCCTCGCGAGCAACGGACAATTGGGAGACGGAGAGGATCCCGCTAATTGTCTGGATATCGACCCTGGTTAGTGCGTTATGTCATGGCAAGCTGAATTGTTGACACTCAAACTTTTAGACCGCATTTAAACGTTTACCCTGCACAAAATATGTTATTTCATTGTCGCAGGCCTATAGTTGGCCCAAACATTGAATTTCGCAACTTACAAATTCATAGAAAGTTTACAGAAAAATACTTAATAAAACAGACATTTAATTCCTCAGAATAGCTAACACGTCTTCCTTTATTTCATAACTGAGCAACCTGTAGAATAGCCTAGGACATTTGCAGATTTTGTTTATATGTATGTTTGTTTGTTTACTTTTAGAAAGAATGTTGTGCTTTAATTCAGGCCATGCACATGCAAGAAAATTTAATATTTGGTGCGTTTGGCTAAATACCGAGTATAATGCACCCATGGCCTAACAATTCTATATATGTTTCATCAGGTAAACAGCAGACCATATAGAGATTAATTGGAAACAGGAAAGTACAGTTAGAAACTGTTCCCTGTAGAAATCAGTTTTTGCATTCATCCTGATCTTAACAGATAAGTGCACTTGTAAATATACGCGAGCAGGCGCTTACGCACATAACTGTGTGTGCGCGCGCGTATGTGTGTTTCTTGGTTTCATCGCTGTAGTTCAACTGTTGCAACGTTAGTCATCACTTCATTAGTTTCGCTTCAGAAGCATTGCCATTAGGCAGACCATTAAGTTCAGCATAACAGGCTGCTGACTGATCATTCTGTACATATTATGATATAGTCCACTATTGAGGGCGATTTTAAATGTGACTTCACCTCATTTTTAAAAATAATACTGAGCACAGATAGATGGTTATAGTTGGCCAATACTGTAACAAAAGAACAGCATTATCAGAGGACGACGCAAAGCGCGACAGGTGAGTACACTAAATGCAATTGTTAATAATATTTTTATTTTTAAACAACTGTCAAGAGGCGTTTGAGACATACTACGCATATAAAAACTGGATTTCCACGAGATTACGCCGTCTGGGCCAACAGGTCAAATAGGCCTGCTTGTGTCAAAATTGTTTTCATACTAAACCAGTGTTATTTACCACTAAGAAAGAATATTAATTGTGTTTGCTTATAAATGTCCAAGGTAATTTAACAGTTTGACCCGACGACACCTACAAGCTAAATCAGTTTTGATTCAAATATCGCTACTATTTACTATGCCAATTTAAACCTATTTAAAGTCATTAATTTAACTGCTCAATATAGCCTACATCAAAAATGGAATAGAGTTGTTGCTCGACTGATTGAAAAATTGGTTTAGCCGTGACACAATACGGGATTATAAGATAATAGGGAAAGATAAAGATAAAAAAGATGAACAGTTGTTCTTTTTTTTTGTGTAAAATTATTTCAATCACTCGATCGCTCTATTGTCTTGTCCCACACGCATGCATAGGCTATAGTGTACAGATGACTTTGTCATCTGTTCAAGGCTTCAACATGCGGGGGGTGACTTAATGATTCTTTTTATCAGTCATTTCAGTAAACACGAATTAGTTTCTACTTCTTTTAATAACAGTAATTACTAAGAAAGATCCTATCTTGAATAATTACAGAGTAAAACAAATTTTTACTTTTTAAAAATGCATCAAGAAATATACTTATTGAATCACCAACAGACTTTAATATTTTAAAATACATCTTTGTTTTAAAATAGAAGTAACTTGTGAATTAAACTATTTTCGACCCCAAATAACTATGGGGCATCGTTTTCTTCGTCTTGGACGGTTCAAAAATGTTGGATTTAAATTGTTGCTCCTTTTAAAATTGAATCATTATCAGTTTTGACTTTGATATCCGTAATTTAAGATAACCATTACATATTTTCACATCAGTTTAATGTAGCCTATGGTTATCCTTTATCATCTTGCGCATTGTGCTTTTCATAGAATATAATAAACCAAGTTAATAATGGAATATTTATATACTACCAACTGTTTACTAATTACACTAATTGTTTTTAATTGTCTATTTTAAAATGAACAGAATTTTGTGCGTGCCAATTCACAAAAATGTTACAACTGGACCACTGAAAACGGATGCATTATTTTTCCTCCTCAAATATTAATGTTAAAAAATTCTTGAATAATTTACCTACTTTTCCACTTCGGTTTGCGTTGTGTTAAGTTAGTATTTTTATTAATAAGGTTATGCCTCTTATTTCATTTTACACTATTTTTTTTGTCTTTCCATATTATTTTTCTTCGATGTCATTCAACTGGTAGTGTTTTGCCCTTTCTCTTGCATAATTCCCAGAGCGACAAAATCAAAATGAAAGACGACAGATGTGTACATTTAAAAGGAGTCTTAATCTTTATTTTTATTACCTCCCTCTTACATGAGACTGAGTGAAGTCCAGCGGAAACAGGTGGTTCTGGGCCTGCTGGATTGGGTTACCCTGCAATTTCATGCTTAGTTCGCCTCTATACCCCCCAAAAAATTAGGTCATTCAAACAAAAGTCAAACACTGTGCAGGAAGGCAAAATATTGACGTGAAAATTCTTTTTTGCAATATGTATAAGCAACAGAAAAAAATGTTAAAGTGTTAGTAGTTCTGCGATCGCCTATCAATTCTGTTTTTTTTTTTTTTTTTTTGCTTCATTGCGTCAAATCGGTTACCTTAAAGTTACATTAAAGTTTACGGGTTTAGAGATATCGTTTCCAAGGTAGGTTATGCCATGATAATGATACATCTTGTCTTATTTTGAGGATATTGTTTGTAGTGTTCAGTTGACGCTGGTAGGCAACAGTTTGTCGTGTTATGTTGTAAGCAATTCTGGCAGAGCTATTAGTCTTGTGGAATGGCTCACTGACAGCATCTCAGAAACGACAGCACATTGATGGCTTTGGATAAAGTTGAGGACATGCCTGAGAGATTGCATGAAAGAAGCGACAGGGTTCATTACTATAATTACGCTGATTGAATCTCTCACGAGGTTGATGAAAAGTCAGACTCGGGCTCTGGGGCTCCGAAAGCTTTTGCCCGTGCACGGCTTCAGAGGGTGCTGTGCACAGGGGTGCTGGTGGTTTGGCCCAGGCTGCTGCAGCCAGTCTTTTTGAAGCTTATGGTTACACAGTCTAATTTGCATGACATGTACTGCCAACAATCCATCTTATTTGAATAGCCTGAGGTTGAAGTCACCTGAATATTTTAAAAATATATATTGATATATTGTGTTTTGTTTTTAACATAGGCCTATTTTGCCTATAGGTTACTAACAGTGCCAAGGCTTAAATTTCTCTGCTATTTCATTTGCTTTAATCCCTGTTCATCAAGTTTATGATTTGTAATTAGCTTTTGTTATTATAATTATTTTATTTTTATCTTAACGTTCAAGGTAGTTTCCTTCCAATCAGGATACTAAAAATCTTTAAAAACACACACTAAAAATGCAATTTCCTTAAAAATATAGGCACTTAATTACTTCAATCAATTGCAAGACATTCGTGTTGTGACTTACGTTGATCAATGCCATTAATGTGCTGTTTAACCCCGCGCACTTACCAAAATAATTAAACAAGGAGTAAAGGTTATTTTCTGGAAACAATATGAAATATACCCACTCAATTGGTGCTGTTTTTTATTCAACAGTCCATCATGAGCGAATCCAAGTCGTTTTTCTTTTACGGCTGCAGGTGATCTGGTTCTACCGTTCAGTATTGTCAACGGGCCTCCAGAGGCCCTCGTCCTGCTGCTGGCGTTTATAATGATTTTATTTGTTCTTTGTAGATTCAGAGGCCAGCCCGGGCTCTGACGGCGAGGGTCTGGCGGAGCGGACGTCCTGCTCGTTCGGCTCCCCGGCGGACCTGACTTCCGCCGCCTGCGACCCCTCACCATCAGCCTCTATGGAGGAGATCCAGGTGGAGCTGCAGTGCGCTGACCTGTGGAAACGCTTCCACGACATTGGCACAGAAATGATCATTACAAAAGCTGGAAGGTAAAACTGAAAACATAATTATAAAGAAATTAAATGAGTATGATTGTAACATTCGGCCAATTGGCAACATAAAAATATGTTTGGGTTAAATTTAGAATTTATTTGTTTATTTTTTTAATAGTTTGATGTAATCTCTACTCCAACGTTTTAAAAACTATTACATTCAAACACTGTATAAACTGAACTAGACCGGCTTTAGATTAACTATCTCAACAGTAAACCACTTTCTAAATAAAAAGTTTTTAATGCAAAGTCAGAAAATATTGCATATTGTTAGCATATACTTTGCATAGGCTAGTTTTTTATTAAGTGAAAGAAAAACCCCTGAAGAGGGTAAAAGTAAGTAAAAGTAAGCTAATTATTATTATAATTATAACAACAATAATAATAATAACACAATTATTACCCTAACTACTTATTCATTTGTTTTTGTTTAAATTGAATATTTTTTTATTTTAACTATTGATTATAATTATGTACTCCCATGTGTAATAAATGTGCTAATTAAAACAAAACTGAACAAATGTATTTTCCCTTATTTTAACATGATGTAAAGCGTATATATATTTAGTTTCTGCTGAGAGTGAGGTGAAAGTTTTAGCCTATATAACAAACCAATAACAAACTAGTATTAACAAAACAAAAAACAATAGCAAAGCATACATTTAAATTCAGTTCATTTTATTCAGGGTATTTATTTAAAACACATAGAAAATAAAGTATTGTGAGCATTTGTAATAGACCAACACATACTGACAGCTTGCGGAGCACACGCACGCGCAAAAACATCTCAAGGTATTGTTTGGCAAGAGGAGGTGGCTGCGCACGGGGACTAAAAACATGAAAACAGTGTTTTGGGGGCGCTAATGTGTTACATATGGGCAGAAGTACCTAATCACAAACCACAACCAATATGGCGAGCTACGGTATAGGGCTATTTCACTATTCAACCTATAACGGTGAGCGAAACAGAACAACAACAACTGTTTCTAATTAATGTATTTGAAATATGTTTTTCGTTTTCTTTCTCTTTTGGGCGTCAATTACAGCCCAAACCGAGCATATAACTTAACCTGAGCGGGTCACAGTAAGACCTTTCGCCCCTTATTTTCTCGACGGGATTGCCAGGTATTTCCGTGTCATTTTTACACTTTACGATCAAATCAACATGAAAACATGTCTCCGTTTATAGGTGTAATTCCTTGTTTTAAAACACAGGGTAAACCTGTGCTTAAGAACACTTCCTGATTGTACTGGATGATTGTAAAGTAGTGATTATTAATAGAAGTCTATGTTATGGTGGTTTAAATTAACTTAACCGCTGTTAAAAAATACAGAAAAAAATAGTTTTTACATAACTGAGTAAAATAGTTTGTCTGTCTCCAAATCACGCAGAGTAGCCTAAAGCTTTCTTTTAAAATGTGTTTGGAAACGACAGCTAACGAATAGTTAATAAGACAAACACAAAATGAATTAAAAGAAGTAATGTAAATTCTAAAACTAATAATTTGGAAGACTTTTTTTCTCAGACCTTTCTCAATTATAAATACATTTCTTAGGCCTACACCACATGATGTTTTCATCATCAAAATACTCTTTCTTCTGATTCTTCGCACTTGTGTAATAAATCACGCCTGTAGCAATTTTTCATTGGAACAGTAAACAATTTTGTTTGTGCCAGAACCCTTTATTAAACAATTTAACTTGTGTCCAAAATATATTACGTGTTAAATAGACTGCTGGCTTACATATTCAGTCAGAATTTGAGCCTAAAATAATTGCTTTTTTAATGCAAGATTCATGAATAGCGGCGTGTATTTATTCCCCTTCTAATAATAACCCTATAAATTTCGAGGTGTAGGGGGTGCGGCTGAGCAACCAGACACTTTTTCTCATTATGAACAAAGAGATTTATGACGCCTAAATGAAAAAACAAAGAAGTAGCTTTTGAAGTGTAAAATGAGGAATTAGCCAAAAATGTCTTTTTGGACGTGGCTAGCTCTTTAAACATCTAACTCTTTGTTCAGTTTAGTTTATTTGAACTTTTTATAGACTTTTGTGAATTCTTTGATTAGTCTGTTGTCCACTTCTTTTAATTTAACAAAATAAACTCTGTTATTATTAGCAAATGGTCACCAAGAATGATTAAAATAATGGTTTTATTGCTCCTATATGGTTTTGGTGGTGTCTGGCAGTTGTATATATATATTTAACATGTATCACTCCAAACATGTGGCACATACTTTCCTTATTTAATTTTATTAATTGGATGTCATGTTTACATTTCACATTTTCAGTCTAATTTCTCTCTACCATATATTCTAGAAAATCATCTTATAAAATGTTGCAGTCCTTTCACTTTTATAAAATAAGGTTTCAAATTAGTTTTCCCAGTGCTTCCTTATAAGAACAAAATAATTATTCCTTAATGAGTAGTTCAGTCAACAGCTCTTAAATTGGTTTCCAAGTGTGAAGAACATATTAATAATCAGTGTAAAAGTAACATGAGTTACATAATAATATTACTTTTCTAAGTAACAAGTAACGCATTAATTTAAAAAATTAAGTAAGAATATTTGAGTTACTTTTCTGAAAATGTAATGTGTTACTTTTTAGTTAAATTAATTTGCTTTTAAAAATAAATAGCTGAATTAAAATTAAAACAGTCACAATGAAACAAGCAGTCAATGAGAGAATGTGTTCATTTCGTTCATGTGTTCATTGTCTCAATGGACAGTGATTTTATTCAAGACTTTAAACTTTCAATAATCTGTATACGGCATGTATAGCTCTGTGGTCATGAAGTTTTCAGATAACATTATCCTAAAATATATATTTTTTTTGAGTCTTGTGTGTGTGTGTGTGTGTGTGTGTGTGTGTGTGTGTGTGTGTTTAAATACTTTATTTATAGGGATTTTTAAAAATAAATTTGCACAAAACAAACAGTCAACAACCACAATAAGGAAATAATTTCTCTTTTCGGGCTGTAACAGAAGTGACACCTAGCTGACAGTTTGCAAACATTAAAGTCCTCGAGCGTCATACAAATTGACAGCAAGTGTACGTATAGGGTGCATACACAACTTATTACATACAGTAATGACAAACAAATAAGTATAATAATAAGTTATAAAAAAGAAAATGCAAAAATATATACAATACATATAAGCAGACCATTCAGTGTGTAATAGAAGGAAGGTTCTGTATACCTTTATTACAAGCAAGCCCATTGTGAAAGGCATTAAAAGGTTACAGGAAGAGGAAAAAGGGATGATAAAAAATAATAATTAAAACGGGTGTGCAGGGGGATGTTTTGAGATTGTATGGGATTAAATATCCTCCTGCTCTGAGAATTATAAATTATCAATGAATGTAAGAAAGAGAGACCATGTTTTTTTATGTGTTTTCTAAAGATAAATGAAGGTTATGCTGTACGTTGTTAATTGCAGAGTTCCACATTTTTAAAAAAAGAGAAAAAAAAAAACAAGTTCTAAAAGAGATCCAGCCACAGATAGATAATTAAAAGTAACACAAAAGTAACCCAAAAGTAACACCACATTTCTTACCATAAAAAAGAAACTAACGCAGCTAGTTACCTTTTTGGGGAGTAACTCAACATTGTAATGCATTACTTTCAAAAGTAACTTTCCGCAACACTGATAATAATACAAAGAATATATATTTTTCACTGTAAAGGACCTCTTAGAATGTAAGTTTATTTGGATAATAAAGGTCTTTTAGGGAACCACCAATGCCAAACGTATACTTACAGCAAAATATTGATTTAAAAAGAGCCTTTATTTTTAAGAATTAATTTTGTTGTTGACAGTGTTTGATTAATTTACATTTTACTCTGTTTTAGGAGAATGTTCCCTGCTATGAGGGTAAAAATAGTGGGATTGGATCCACATCAGCAGTATTACATTGCCATGGACATTGTACCAGTGGACAACAAGAGATACAGGTAAACACTACTTAAATGAGTGTGAAGCAATTTGACTGGGCATTTGTATACACTCTGGAAAAGTGATCCCTCTTGAAATGAGCTGGGAGATTTACACGAGTAAGCAACGGTGACTGTAACCCTGACAGAGTTGCCGTATCAGCACTGAAGTTGGTGTAATGTAACCCTATGATTTCGCTCTCACCATGACAACCTTCCATCACACACGCGTAGAGACAAGGGTTACTTAAATGCAACTAAAGCCTGCATGTCCAGCCTGCTGCAGTGCACTTGTCCATTTCATTGCAAGTCATGCATGTCAGATTATGTTCGTTTTATTTAATAGTAAAAGGACATAATGATCTGCTAGATTAGCTCTCCTTGCTTCTTCCTGCAATCACTAAATCGGCAAACGCATCTGATTTTTGTTTGTATCCTGTGAAAGTATTTGAGCTGTGTTTATGCTTTAGTTCCACATGCTGATGTATGAGAGTAGAAGTGGAAACGGCTGAAATCTGAACTCTGTTTTAGGGAATAAGAGGCCATGAATAAGGATATTATGTTCATAGTCATACACGAGTGCATCAGATCTGTTTTTAAAGTTGTTTTAAGTCTGCTGGAATTAATGCATAGATCTCAATGCTTTAAAGACAATAAATGCTTGAAACGAAACAAAAAAACAATGCACAACATTGTGGGTGTTATTATGTTAATGAATCAGTGTTTGTGACAGCACAATAATCTTCAAGGTCAATTACTCTTAGATTAATGTATGCATTTACTGAAAACGAAACCACAACGGATTGAGCACTGGCCTTGAAGAGAGCCATTTAGAACCCCCAAATATCATGGAGGATTTTAGAAGCCAGAAGATCTTGTAAAATTAAATAGGATTTTCTTCCTGGCTGGGGAATTTACCACAAGGCTTTGCAAACGGAGCAAAGAGCTGTCACTGGAATGCCTCATGTGTCTCGAGGGCTCGGGTCTGGAAACGCAGCCTTTATTGGAATTTACTCACTTTACTTAGGCCCGCTGCCCTTTTCAAGCGACACAGAGTTTGTACTAGACTTGTTAAATCTTTCTTTACGTGTTACTTGAATTACTCTACTCTTTAATGTGGGCATTCGGTATGGCTTATATTTGAGAGAAGAAATAGGAAAGTGCAGAGCGGCCCAGATTTTGGATCTGTTGCAGACCCTCGCCAGCTAATTTATTCACAAATATCCTGCATGCGCTGGCTGCCGTTTTTGTTTCTCCATTTAGATGTTGGCCTGTTTGCCTCACTTTTTTTTTCTTTGTCCAGCTGTCTACTTCAGGCATGCCAGTCCTCTCTCTTATTTTATATATGCACTCTAATACACACAATAAACGCACATGGTGCAGAGCACATGCTCTAGTCCACACTTCAGGGTATCACTTACTCTGTCAGTATAAGAAACTCAATATATGACTTGGTCTATTTGCTGCCTTGTATAAGAGAGCACAAGCATATCTACACTACACTATGCTGTAAAAAGTGATTAGTTATTACTTTACTGAAAGAAAAGCTGAGTAAATTGATTAAACAATTATTTCTAACTTATAATTGTTAAGCTAATTTTCATAATCTTGAACACATTAAAAAAATGCTGCAAAACTGCTCATTTTAAATGAGCTGAAATATGACAATTCTTTAGTTTTTTTGGGACAACTTGTCACAGCTTAATCAAAAAAAAAAAAAAAATCCTCAAAACATTGTGTTGGATAGATATTGCTCTGTATGGACTTTTTTGTCCTGTTGTCCTGTTTTGTACTGTACATATTTATTATGTATATATAAATACATGCATGGATATATTTGAGAAAAAATATATCTATTTGGATATAAAATATTTATTTATATGATATAAATTATATGTTAGTGTAAATTTCTTTTTAACAAAATTGCTTTATGTAGTTTTATTTCTATGTATATGTGTGTGTATAACATATACATAATAAATATATATAATTCACAGGGATATATTATGTCAAACTTTTATTTTGGATGTGATTGATAATGATTAATTTTTGCTCAGCACAAAACATTTTTTTCTCTTAAAATAAAATACTTGTTAAATAACTTAATTGTTTTATGTTCAATCAGCTTAAATTTAAGTTAACTTAACCCATTTGTGTTGGGACAACATTAATGAATTATGTGGAACCCTTCGTTTTTTTTTTACTGTGCGTAGTTAAATTACGTAATAATTTTAAGACAAGTCGAAGCCAAGTAATCACTTTTAAAAGCAACTGTTTATAATAACAGCACTATATAAATTAATATAAATTCATACTAATCAAAATCAAGCACATTGATCATTATCAAAAACTCATGTCTTTTCGATTACTTTTGACCTGACTTATCACAAAGATGTGATTATTTTGTGCCATAATAATCTAAAAAGTTGTTTAAGAGTTGATAATAAATAATTTATTAAATTTTAACATTGTAAAATGTAAAACCATTTTTTTAAAAATACTTGACCATTAAAGATTGAATGTTGTTATCGATTACCTTAATGTCCTACGACCATTAGTCAATTACTCATTAATTAAATGCTTTATTAAATTATTAAAATATTAACATAGAATTTCAAAGGTAAAGTAAAAGTAGCTCAAAGAGATTCAGCCAAACAAAAATGTCTATATTTACAAACTTAAACATTAATAAAAAAAAATTAAAACAACATTTTACAATCAAAGTCTTGCTGGTTTTAAATGAATTATTCAGATTTTCAGAATCCATAATCAGTATTTCACAGATATAGTATTTCACTGATTTGTTTTACTCATTTTTTCATTTTTCATCATTGCCACTTGTACTCTTACCGGCCATCTAAATCTATGTAAATACATCTGCATGTGTACAATGTTCTGCATGTGTTAAATATCGCTGGACTCTAATGGGCAGTCGCTCCGTCATCTGTCCAAAAAGGTGTCACATGAAGTTGGATCTTTATTGATTGTGCTAGAGCCAGATGGCAGATTTATGAAAGATGAAAGAGGCCTAATCAAATTTCCAGTCCTTTTTGGTCTTGGGTTTCCCTTTTCTTTAACACTTTCTCTGCTACATGGAGCATAACCCTAAACAGGACTCCAAACAGGAAATTGCAAAAACGCGTGGTACTGTATGCGTATGTGTGCGAGGGACAGACAGAGCGCGAGTGTTTGTGTTAAAGCGCACATGTTTTAAAGAAGATATATAACTTAAGATCCAGCAGATTAATGTCTATAAATATGCGTGGCACGCACGTGTGTTCATGTCTGGCAGTGGCCGGGTGATCTGGGAGAGAATAAGATAGACACAGAGGATGTTTAATGCTGCCAAGCAAAAACAAAAAGGGGCCAAATGAGAGTTTTGTCCATGTTTGAGAGTCGGGTGATGACTTTGGCAGAGGCGTTGCAGTTAAGCGCTTTCAACTGTGCGCATGGCCAGAACTAAAGGCATCCAGCTGTGCCTCAAGCTGTCAGCTGAGGAAATGCCCTGCAAACAATACAACAGAAGTGCCCAAAGACAGTCTTTCTAATGCTTTTCATCTACTCTGTTCATGTATACATACTTTTAAGTATATTCTGATGGATTCAAAAGGATATTTTGCTTGTATTGAATTTGTTTGTTTGAGATTTGAGAATGCATGAGTTATTTTTTGGCATTACACAGTGAGTCGTGGCCTGCTGGAACAGAGAATATCATTGAGTTTATGTGCTTATTGTTTTTGCAGGTATGTGTATCACAGCTCGAAGTGGATGGTGGCGGGAAATGCGGATTCGCCAGTGCCGCCCAGAGTTTACATTCACCCAGATTCACTGGCTTCAGGAGACACCTGGATGAGACAAGTGGTCAGCTTTGATAAACTCAAACTTACCAACAATGAGCTGGATGATCAAGGCCATGTGAGTTTACATTTAATTGCCATTAATGTCATAGAAATGTTATTAAAAGACTGAGGTCAGTCAGAATTTTTAAAATGTATATTATTTATTTATGAATGACACATAAAATTGATCAAATGTCATAGTAAGTATAATACTTATTAATACTATTTCTGCTGCTATGGATAATAATAATAATAATAATAATGACAGTAACAGTAATTTTCAATAACAGAAAATCCTCAAAACATAGTGTTTTAGATATTGCTCTGTATGGACTTTTCTGTCCTCTTTAGCAGGCTAAAACACCTCAAAACAAACACACATCTCTTATTACATCAGCTTAAGTAATTAAAGTCTCTTAACGGGAAAAGCGCTAAAAATCAATAATTAATAACATTCCCTCAATTCAAAATTCGATGTATTTAACAATATCATGAATTGATGTCTTATTGATAACTTTTGACCTAACTTATCTAATAAATTTGATTATTTTGTGCCAGCTTAATAGTTAATAGTTTGTGAGATGATGAAAAGATAAAGTATTACATTTAAAAATAATTGATTGTTTCTAGTGCTGGGCAAAAATTATCGCAATTAATCACATCCAAAATAAAAGTTTGTTTGACATAATAAAACTGTGTGCACTGTGCATATTTATTGTGTATATATAAACAGACACATGCATGCATGCATATATTTGAGAAAATACTGATTTATATTTAGATTTAAAATATATATTTATATGATACAAATTATATATTAATGTTAATTTATATTAAACACAATTGTTTAGTATAATTTAGTTTTATGCATGTGTGTGTATCACAGATACATAATGAATATATATAATTCATATACATACATACATACATACATACATACATACATACATACATACATACATACATACATACATACACACACACACACACACACACACACACACATATATATATATATATATATATATATATATATATATATATATATATATATATATATATATATATATATATATATTTGGGTGACGCAGTAGGTAGTGCTGACAGCAAGAAGGTCGCTGGTTTGACCCTCGGCTGGGTCAGTTGGCGTTTCTGTGTGGAGTTTGGATGTTCTCCCTGCGTTCACGTGGGTTTCCTCCGGGTACTCCGGTTTCCCCCACAGTTCAAAGACATGTGTTATAGGTGAATTGGGTAGGATAAATTGTCCGTCGTGTATGAGTGTGTATGGATTTTTCCCAGAGATAGGTTGCAGCTGTAAGGGTATCCGCTGTGTAAAACGTGCTGGATAAGTTGGCAGTTCATAAAGGGACTAAGCCGAAAATAAAATAAATGAATATATATATATATATATATATATATATATATATATATATATATATATATATATATATATATATATATATATATATATATATATATATATATTTAAAAAAAATATATAATGTAAAAAAATGTATTATTATTTAACTTTAACTTATTTAACATACTATTTTGCATGGGATTAGTCACGTTATTCTTGGTTATTTCAGTTATTAGTATCACAGTTATCATGATTATTATATGCTCAGCACTAATTGTTTCAAATATTTTTGTTGTAATTGTTTATCTGAATTTTGCATGACCACTAGAGAGCTATAAACATTCATTCATATAAATCATTCATGTCATATAATTTCAGGTAAAGTAAAAGGTAAAATAAAAAAAACAAAAAAAAAAACAAACAAAAACAAATGTAAACATCAATAAAGGACATTTCACAACCAAAATCTTTCAGGCATTTAAATTAATTGTTCAGATTTTAATTAAGATACTCTCCAAATCATCCAACAGAAATACATTGATTTTTTTTTCCTTACAAAATTCTGCACATAAAAATCTAAAAAAAAAGTCAGCAGATTCTGTCTGGCCCTGGTTATAAGTCATAATATGTGATCATGAACAGTAATTAACAATAAAAAGCATCTGATTGCATCTGTGATCTGATTATGTGCACTGAAGATGACAGTAATGATGTTGGAAAACCAACATTATTATCATAATAGTAAATTCAGTTTGAATATAAAATTAGCATTAGTTCAAATAAAAATATGTGTCTTTAAATCATAATAATATTTCACAACATTTGACTAAAATAAATACAGCATTTCTAAACTCTTTCTGACTCTTTCTGCTTTCTAAAATGAAAGCCACCACAAAACATGGAAAACCTGCACATTAATTATTTGTATTTGAGCAAAGAGACATTGCATCCACCTGACTATCCACTGTCAATGTTTTCGTAATGCACGCTAGTTGATGGATAGCAAACCTCGTCTCCCCTGAAGACATCTGTATATCCTCTTAAGCAAGAAAACCATTATTCACTGTATTCTCTGAAGAACTGGCAAAACTGGACAAAGAATGATTTTAATGTACTCGACTGTGATATTCCCCATGTGGTGTCTGTGCTCAACAACAGCTGAATACAACTGGAATGTAAGCACATGTTATTGTGTGGAAATGTATTCACCCCCCACCACCAAAATATATTTCTTTTCCATTTTTCATTTGTGTGTTTCGGTTGAAGTGTGTCTTGTGCCCAGTCGCTCTGGTGTTTGGCGTTGTGCTGAAGGATGATTTTATTATCAGACCGTCTGATGACACTCTCATCCGCAGCACGCTTTGTTAGCTTGTCTTGGTTATGTATCCTGACCGTGACAGTGACTTGAGGAATGGGGTGATACGTCCAGCTCTATCCAGAATAATGGGAGCCACAAGAAGAATGGGCTTAATTTACTCAGTATGGTTTTAAAGGCTTATAGACCTCATGTTATGTTCTAGGATTGAATGGACACTCTTTATGTTTTAGGGCCCAGAGTAACCGGTTTTAACAGTATTAGTGATTTTGAGGAGCTTTTGTTGTCCGGTCGATATATATTAATACATTTCTTTAACTTATTAAGTTGGCAGATATGAGTCTCTCTCTGTTTAAGGTGCATGGACAAACGCGTAAATGGGCGATTGTTTTAGAGTGATTATGTTGAGACATTGTTAAAATATCTGTTAAATAACAGCTTGTGATTCACTAGTATTTTCTTAATTCTCTGACGGCCTTTGTTGTGGAAAATATAACTACACTTTACAAACTAAACTTTAAAGACATTTTTAAAAACTCTTTCCTGTGTAAAAATAAAATGTGTATATAATAAATTTAACACTGGTAAAATACTAGTAGCACATTATTAGGTAATAATAATAATGAGTTATTTATATCAATCAATATTCATGCCAGTTTTTGAGCTGCTAAAAAAAAATTTAAAGTTACTTTATTAAATTTTACAGCATTGTCAATTATTTGGAGAAAAAAAAAACTTTTTATTCGTTTATTTGCTTGTTTACTTGCATATACTTTTTAGAATTTTATTTTATTTGTTTTTATTTTATTTTATTTTATTTTATTTTATTTTTATTCAATTTGATTCAACTCTATTATATTTATTGTATTTTATTTCAATTAAATTCTATTTTATTATAATTTAATTTATTTCATTTCAATTCTATTCTATTCTATTCTATTCTATTCTATTCTATTCTATTCTATTCTATTCTATTCTATTCTATTCTATTCTATTCTATTCTATTCTATTCTATTCTATTCTGTCTTATTCTATTTGGGCTTTTGCATCCCTGGCTCCGGGGCTCTTGAACTCTCTCCCTATGATATTAGACATGCTAAATCTTTTAAATTTTTTAAATCATCCTTGAAAACTCACTGCTATACACTCGCCTATTCATGAGGTGTGCATTCTTGGTTTGTTTTATGTTTATGGATATTTGAATGTTTTATCAGTTTTGAAAGTTTTATCTTGAATGATTTAATTTTACTGTTATTCTAAACTGTTTTATATCTGTATCTTTTTCGTGTAATGCGCTTTGAGAATTAAGTTTTAAAGGTGCCATATTAAAATAAATTATTCAATTCAATTCAATTCAATCCTATTCTATTCTATTCTATTCTATTCTATTCTATTCTATTCTATTCTATTCTATTCTATTCTATTCTATTCTATTCTATTCCATTCTATTCTATTCTATTCTATTCTGCTCTGTTCTGTTCAATTTTATGTTAATCTATTTTATTTGCTTCCTAAAAGCTGAAATAACCTTTTGTGTTTTCAAATACATAATTTTTACAGTGTCAACATCATGTATTGTGTGTGATGTCCTGAAAAGTTTTCACTACACAGTTAATGGTGATGTAAAAAATTAAATAAATAAGAACACACACACACACACACACACACACACACACACACACACACACACACACACACACACACACACACACATAGTCAGAATTATTAGCCCCCCTGAATTATTTTTCCCCAATTTCTGTTTAACGGAGAGAAGATTTTTTTTCAACACATTCTTATACATAAAAAAAAATTTAATAACTAAAGTCTAACAACTGATTTATTTTATCTTTGCCATGATGACAGTAAACAATGTTTGACTAGATATTTTTCAATACACTTCTATACATCTTAAAGTGACATTTAAAGGCTTAACTATGTTAATTAGGTTAAACTACTGTATAACTATGGTTTGTTCTGTAGACTATAAAAAAATAGCTTAAAGGGGCTAATAATTTTGTCCTAAAATGTTTTTTTAAAAAAATTAATAACTGCTTTTATTCTAGCCGAAATTTTGACCTAAAAGTGTTTTTAAAAAAAGTAATAACTGCTTTTATTCTAGCCAAAATAAAATAAATAAGACTTTCTCCAGAAGAAAAAACATTATCAGACATACTGAAAAAAAATTCCTTGCTCTGTTAAACATCATTTGGGAAATATTTAAAAAAGAAAAAAAATTGAAAGGGGGGCTAATAATTCTGACTTTAACTGCCTAATTATATCCAGTACTGGCTAAATGATTTTACATTTGTATAACAAGAATATGTCAAATGCTTTTTTATTACATTTATTTTTGTAGTAAGGCAATAACAAATTTTTTTTGGTCATTGTTTTTAAATTGATGTCGATTATTCGGTGAATGCATTTGCATAACCACTGTAATGGTGCAGTAAAGTCAGAGAGGAAGTCGAGAATAATTGCAGATGACAGGCTGCGTTTTCTTGACCCACTGCTGCAGTGTATCAATGTTTTAGATGCAGGGTTGATGTGGGTGAAGTAGTTTGCTTCGGGCCACGTCTGTGAACTTCACTGCTCTCTATTGGCATCTCGTCTGCATATGGGGCTGTTTTGACTCGAGTCACTGATGCTATCACTCCACTGTTCTGACAAATGTAATAACATATGGGTGATACAACTGCAGCAGGCTGGTGTTTTCTCAGGAAGAGGAGAGGGGACTTTTCTTATACCACAACCTCGTAAAAAGAGACTTTATTTTTTGTTCGCCTGGAGGGCGAGAAAGGGCCGGAATTGAAGTTAACCCTGGAACGTCCTGTGTGGGACCTCGTCGCCATGAAATATATGAGCCTTACGGTTATTTCGCACTTTCATAGCAAAATATCAAAAGAACGGCATTTATTGTTATTATTACTATTAAAAGTCTTTACTGCTTTATTGGATTGATTTAATGCAGTCTTTCTTATATTCTTTTACTGGTAGTGTATAATGTTACTCTTTTTGCCAATAAATGCTGTGCTTTTAAACTTTTATTCATCTAAGAATCCTGAAAAAATGTTCACAATGGTTTATAGCAATAGAGTATTTCTTGAGCAGAAAATCAGCATATTAGAAGGATTTCTGAAGACTTTAAATCACAGGAATTATTTGCAGTTTAAAAATAAAACAAAAAAGCTGAACAGAAGATAAAAATGTACACATCTTATTATTCTGAAACCTTTGAATATGTACAGTTATGAAAAATATTAAGAGATACCTAAATATTTCTCTTCAAGTTTTTCTCTGAATTTAAAATGGATTTTTTCTTTAGAACTAAAAACTTTTCTTCTATTTTTAAATCTAAAAATGTTAGCATGATTTACAGAAGACAGTGTATATACATGGACAGCTAAAGTCAGAACTTTTAGCCCCCCCTGAATTATTACCCCCCTGTTTATTTCTTCCCCCAATTTCTGTTTAACGGAGAGATTTTTTCAACAGATTTCTAAACATAATAGTTTTAGTAACTCATTTCTAATACCTGATTTATTTTATCTTTGCCATGATGACTGTAAATAATATTTGACTAGATATTTTTCAAGACAATTCTATAAATCTTAAAGTGATATTTAAAGGCTTAACTAGGCTAATTAGGTTAACTAGGCAGGTTAGAATTAGGCCAGTAATTGTATAACGATGGTTTGTTCTGTAGACTATCAAAAAATATATATAGTTTAAAGGGGCTAATAATTTTGTCCTTAAGATGGCTTTTGAAAAATTAAAAACGGCTTTTATTCTAGCTGAAATAAAACAAACAATACCTTTTTCAGAAGAAAAAAATATTAACAGACATACTGTAAAAATTTCCAAGAGATGGAAGGGCATCTGATGCGTAAAAACGTGCTGGATAAGTTTATAAAAAATATGATAAAAAAGTTGATTAATAAAGGGACTAAGCCGAAAAGAAAATGAATGAATACTGTAAAAAATTTCCTTGCTCTGTTAAACAACATTTTCGAAATACTGTATTTAAAAAATCAAAAAAATCAAAGGGGGGCTAATAATTCTGACTTTAACTATATTTTATCAAGCATACTTCCAAAAAAGACTTTGTATAAGGGTCACGCTGCAGCCGCAATTGCCACTCTTCATATACTTTGACTTTATTCTTCAAACCATTTGTTTTTACCCATTTGACAGCAAGGGGTTTTAAATATTTAAAATATTTAACCATTTGGTATGATCACTAATACTTTTAAAATAATTGAATAATAAACAGGTCCTATAAGTGCACTGTAATAAATGATATGATAAAAACTCATAATGTTTTTATGTTACTTTACCTTGTTTTATCAAGTTAATCAGATTTTAACTACATTTTTATTTTAACATTTTTAGTCAATTTGATTGATAGAAGTTGAGATGACTATAGGAAAGTTAATTTGATTTAAAAAATGAAAGCAGCTAGAATTATTTTACATATGTTTTTTATGTTAAATCTGATACGCTGAATGAGGATAAAACATTATTATATTTAAATTTTAATATTTTTCCCCCAAATCTATTTGAAGCATTAAAGTAGACATATAAAATGATTCTGCAAATTTAATTTGATTAAGAAATGTTAAATATAATAAATCTGTTAACTAAATATAGTATTTACAGTTTTTTTCACCTCCTGTGATTTAAAAAAAATATATTTTTAAAGTTTTTTAACAATAGTTTTAAAAACTGATTTTGGTAAACTGATTTTTTTAGCTCATGCTTGCTTATAATGAATTGTAACTTTGTTTTTAATTATTTATAATCATACAACACAACAAATCTTATATTGTGTCATAATGACATGTTATAGCTACATTTAAAATAGTGTTATTAATACTTATTAGTGATGGATTCGTTTTCAGTATACATGTTCATATCACATTATACAGTGATTTATAAATATTAATTAGTCAGTTAAGATTGTATTTATTTATAAAGATACAGTTTGCAATTTTTAAAATGTTGTTATGCTATAGTGTACTCTCAGAAAATGATGTTTGCTGCTTGTTTAAACTACTTATTTAAAATGAATTCAAACAACACAATTCTTGCAACAATTTAATAGTTTTATGTCAATCCATTAAAATTTGTAAGAACTAATAAGTTAACTTAAAGGGATCATCGATTTGTGTTGGGACAACATGAAACAACTGTGGTACCCACTATTTTTTACAGTGTAGATTTATAGAATGATTGAGCTATAATTCATTATAAGCACAACCTTCATATTAAGTGTTACCATAATTTCTAAAGTTCCACACAATTCCTTTATGCTGTCCCAACACAAATCAATTAAGCTAACCTAATTATTTTCACAAATTGAACTGGATTGAGCATAAAACTATTAAGTTGTCCCCCCAAAAAACTCATGAATTGTGAAGATTCGACTCATTTTAATAAGTAGTTCAAACAAGCATACAAATTCACACATTTTTTAAATGTGTATTTGAAAAAGAATTAAAGTTTTGCAGAACAGCTAAACATTTTGTCTCTGAGTGTACATATAGTTATAGTAATTCTTGTTAACTCAAAATATTGCCCTTCTAGTAGTATCACCTGCAAATTCCACAGACGATGCTCTGAGTCTCCATAATGTGTGGCTTTGAACATTTCATGGATCTGCTGTTGTCTGGCCTCGGGCAGCACTGCCCAATTGGATTGGATAGGAAGGGGCAAGCAGGAATATTAAATTTACTGTCATCAAGCTGTTTGGTGAAGGCCTCTCTTCTCTCTTCTCTGACCTCCTCGGTTGCGCTGGACCCAGGAGACACACATACACACACACACACATGGACACTGCAGTAATGAGAAGCAGACCGAAGGCCTGAGGGAAAGTTTCAGCCTTCTCGCTCTGACGCCAGCAGATCCTCGTCTGATTCATATCTCATCAACACTCTCATACAACATCTTCTCATATTGGTCCAAGCAGCTTTGATATCCACAGCCTCATTAGATCAGAGATTCAAGGCAAGACGCTGCAGGCAAAAACTTTCTTTAAATGTACCTGTCAATTTTGAGATTTCATGAAGTTTTTTTAAGGCTATAATGCGAAACATAATATACTTTTAAATGTTTGTTTCGTCATACTTTATCACTTTGTCTCTGCAGAATTCAATTACTGTATTTTTAAAGTTAAGTTTCTCAATATAAGTTTTGTCTCCAGCACTGAACCATAAATCTAAACTTTAGCATCTCTTACATAAAACAAACTTCATAGTTTTATTCCTATTCATTTTCTGACGAGTTTTTCATGTTGTTCATAAATAAATTGACTGATTATATACAACATTTTATTCTACAAACAAATACAAACACAGACTTTTCTGAATTATGGAGTGATTAAAAGAGGTTCCTAAAATTCATTCATTCATTCATTTTCCTTTAAGTCCCTTATTTATGAAGGGTTGCCACAGAGGAATGAACTGTCAACTATTCCAGCATATGTTTTACACAGCGGATGCCCTTCCAGCCTCAACCAGTACTGGGAAACACTCATACACACTCATTCACTCAAACATTCATGCACTCAATTCACCTATAGCGCATATCCTTGGACTGTGAGGGAAACCAGAGAACCTGGAAGAAACCCACATGAACACAGGAAGAACATGCAAACTCCACACAGAAATGCCAACCTTCTTGCTCTGAGGCAATAGTGCTAATCACTGAGGCACCGTGCTCATAATTCTGACTTTAACTGTATGTTCATATCTATACAGCTGCAGAAATGTGCTCTTTGGTTGCAGTGGAGTAGTTGTTTATAATGACTTTCTTTATTTCTAGATCATCCTGCACTCGATGCACAAATATCAGCCCCGTGTCCATGTGATCCGGAAAGACTTTAGCAGTGAGCTCTCGCCAACCAAACCTGTTCCTACTGGAGAAGGAGTGAAGACATTCAGCTTCCCAGAGACTGTCTTCACCACAGTCACAGCCTACCAGAACCAACAGGTCCATTACTGACTGTCAGTGTGCAAAATGAGAAATAGTTCTGCTGTGATTCATCTAGGAGTGCAATTAAAAGCCAAGCTGATATTATGACAAGTTTTATTTTATTTTATTATTTTATTTTATTTTAATAATGAGAAAGAGACTTCTAGTGTAATTCAGCTAGGGATGAACAACAATTAAATCCAATAAACAAAAAAAATCCAAGCTGATAATACCACAAGTTATATTATATTATATTATATTATATTATATTATATTATATTATATTATATTATATTATATTATATTATATTATATTATATTATATTATATTATATTATATTATATTATATTATTGTTAATGCAAAATCATTTTGTGATTTGATAAAGATTATAAAAATGTTAAAGTTTAGAATATTAATAAATGATTAAATTGGGGAAATGAGACAAATACATTTTATTATGCAGTATTAGTTGGTGTATATATAGCTTATCAGTAATTGACTAATCAATAGACAAATTAGACAACAAAAATTGCAGCATTTATTCTGACATTTCTGAGATATTAACGAGTTGAGCTTTTGTAGCTTTTGACAAATTTAATTTGATGTGTAATGAAATGTTTACAAACTCTGAAAGCAATTAGCAAGGTGTAAAACCCCAAATTTTATTTACATTTGGTGTTTACATTTTAAAATGAAATTTAAATTTCTGTCTTACAGTTTAGACATTTTTTTCTTAGAACTGCAACTTTATCTCTCGCAAATGTGAATTAATAGCTGCCAACTCTTAAAATGAAAGTTAATAAAAGAAATAAGGTAAAATCGCGAGAAATCTACTAAAAATTCCACAATATAAGATTTTTTTTATGTCTGAGTAAAAACTTCTAAAGTATTATTATTAATTTAAACTAAGTCTTTTGTAAATTCCTGTGGCACAAACACGCATTCATGAAAACCAATATGTTATCGATACATTGTGCATCCTGCAATAAAAACCATATCATGAATCAGTTTTAAAAGGAAAAAAAAGACTTGTTCTGTTTATTGCTAAACTGACAAACTGTCAAACCATTATTAAACATGGCTGTTTTGGACTTGTTCTCTCGTAACAGATTACCCGTCTAAAGATCGACCGCAACCCATTTGCCAAAGGATTCCGGGACTCAGGGAGAAACAGGTAGATTTCAGGAAATTTTATCCTCACTCCATATTGTCCATGCTGTGTGCGCAAATACACACAAATCTCGCTAGTGGCCTTTCATATGGATATGAACCCCAGGAGATCCCACCTAATCCCACGTCCCGCTACATTAAAATCACTCCCTCGTCCATTCGGTTGCCAAGAAAACCTAGTCGATCTGTGATAAAACGATCTGATTGAGGGCAGCGGAAAGAAAAAAGACCCCCTTTCCTTTTCTTTCTGCCTTCCTCCAGTCTCTGCATTTGCCTGCATTTCACTTCTCCGTCTCTATAAGATGCGAGTCAGAAATGGTCATATACTGTGAAAAACTCTGAGACAGACCCTCAGCACATGAAAGCACACTTCCATCTGGAGAGTATTATCGCCACAGATATTTGAGACATCTTTTTTCATTTTTCAAACAATAGACCGCCTGATTTATGAACTAGCGTTAGATTTTCATTGCAGAAAGATAGAGATGAAAAGATTATTCAGGAGTAAGATGTATATATCTAAAAAAATTCTAGCTCTTTCACAAATATATTCTTAAAATACACTTTTTATCCTTCAATAAAATCGTTTCAATACTAATGCTCTGGATCCTCCTCGTCTCGGATTGCAAACCACAGATTAAGTTGTAATACTTGTTAGCTTTTGATAATCTTTGTATGGCAGGCTGTTTTAACATTTATTTTCTAAATCTTTAAAGGTCATATTTTCATGCCTATATATGTTTTTTTAGATACTAGAATCTTTTCCATTAAGTGCTACTTATTCGATCTGAGTAGCATCTTTTCCATTAAGTGAAAGTACTTATTCATTAGCTGGTATTACTGGTTATTCTTTTGGTATTAGTGCCTGTTCTTTAGTAATTTATTTTTACATAAGTATTTATTTAATAGAAAATAGTCTTTCTTTTAAAATAAACACTAGTATCTGTTCAACAACACCATCTGTGTCCAAACAACATGAAACATGACAAGATTCCAGTAACAAGCAATTTGTCTCTCTGCACCAGACGTGACATGACAGAAAAAATGAAATAGAGTCATTCAGATGTGCAGAACAAAACTCCCAATGACATTATTGTTATCTAATTAATTAGTATTAAACTTTATTAATATTGTTCAATGTACATGTGTATTGAGTGCACAGTTCTAACGTCTTAGTTTAAACCATGTTTGCTATAGGTATTTTCTGCTTGTTTTTTCAATATATAAACATAAAGTGAAATTGTATTCAAATTCATTCTGGTAACATTAACTCTAAATAAAGCATGTAATTAAGTCGATCATAGTAGTTCATGCTCTTGTTCACCTGCACGTTGCAGAAATAAATACTTTGCATGTTGTTGTCAAAGATGGTTAGGCAAGGCAAGCAAAGCAAGTTCATTTATATACTGTAGCACATTAATTCATACTCAATGGTAATTTAAAGTGCTTTACATAAACAAGAATAAAAGATCAAATAAAATAAAAATACCAAGTATAAGAAATAAAAAAAAACAATTAAAAATGTGTTAAAACAGGTCTTAAAGGAATGAAAAACAAAAGAAAGACAAAATTAGGGCAAAATATGCGTGTCGCATTGTAAGACATGGTGTAAGTAACTAGTTCTACACACAGTAGCTGTTTGAGGACAAAAACCTGACAAACGTCTTGAAATTCAACATCTGCACAGTGTCTTGTTCTTTAGTGATGTATTTTTAAATGTAGTACTTATTTAATAGAAAATAGTACTTTTTAAAATAAACACTAGTATCTATGAAATAACACCGTGTCCTAACAACATGCAACATGACAAGATTCCAGTGACAAGCAATTTGTCTCTCTGCACCAGACGTGACATGACAAGAAAAAATAAAATAGAGTCATTCAGATGTGCAGAACAAAACTCCCAATGACGTAGACATGTTTATGATCTAATTAATTAGTATTAAACCTTATTAATATTGTTCAATGTTGTAACTGGAAGCTGAATAATTTACTTTGATTCATTGAATTAATATACAATAATGCACACCTGAGATATAATACATTATTATACCAATGGCCTAGTCATTAGTTATAAGAACTAGTTTCTAATTAATATGTATTAGAATTAAATGAATAAGTAGATTTACTTGTATCTAATAACTAAGTGTGGGTGTCTATTTAATAGGTACTAGTATCTAAAGAATGAGGAATGAGTGTCTAATTAATAAACACTAGTATACAGTGTAAGGAATAAATTAGCATATTTCCATATTTTGTGATTATTTTTTATTTTGTTTTCCCATTCATTTATGCTTTTGAATTGCATTATGGAATCTTGATCTTTCTTCCAATAACTTTAAACCTTGAAAAGTTACTTTTATTAACATTTTAATAGTTTAAAGTGACATATTGTCTGCTTTGGTTTTGTATATTACACTCTCAGAAATGAAGGTACAGGAGCTGTCACTGGGGCAGTACCTTTTCAAAAGATACATATTTGTAACTGAAGGGTCCGCAATAGTACCTCAAAGGTACTTTTTAGGTACATTTAGGCACCAATATGTACCTTTGAGGTACCAATGTGGACTCTTTTGGTACAAATGTGTACCTTTTGAAAAGGTACTACCCCAGTCACAGCTCCTATACCTTTATTTCTGAGAGTGTATGGTACTAAAACCTTGTAATAAATCCAGTATGTTTTCTGTTATTTTACAGACTTCTATACATATTACTTATACATTTTATTATTTCAAATGACTAAAATATCAATAAAAGTCACTTTGTTAAATTTTAGAGTTTAATTTTCAACATCAAAAGTCAACAGAGCAAAGATCAACATCCCATAATGTAATTTACTACTGTAAATAAATGGGGAATTATATGGAAACTGTTTAATGAACAGATCTTTCTTACAGTGTACCTAAGGAATAAATACTGCTAATATCTGTTGGTACTAAATTTGGTACTATGGCACAAAAACCTACATTTTCTTCTACAATACATTCTAGTTCATATTATGTATTAAATATTAAAATGGCTTGCCATAATTAATAGGGTCAGTTGTGCTTAACCAGGCCACAAATCAACATTTTAATGTACATCACAATCACTCTTATTTATGATACATTACATCTTTCTTTTGGTGAGCAGTATTTGGATTCAGTCAGAGCCAGTGCTGGAGTCATTAGAGTGGTTCACTAACAAGCAGAAAAGAGGAGAGAATTACAGCCGCTTAAGCTGTACGGCGAGGGCCGGTTCAGGCAGCGCTGCAGAGAGGAGTAAATCACACAGGAAGGGGAGCCTTGTACACAGCACAGATGAAACATCAGCCAGATTTATGTGCACAGTAAAAACCTGCTCCTTTTTACGGGCTCTAGTTTCCTCCAACTCCCCCTCTGATTTTTCTCCCTTTTTCGCCGCAGTCTCATGTGCATAATCGGACTGTCTCACCTGTTTCCCTTTGCCATCTCACGTCTCCTCTTCCGGCCTTTTTCTGCCACTGTCCCCCATACAGGACCGGGCTGGAGGCAATAATGGAGACGTATGCTTTTTGGAGACCTCCAGTGAGGACACTGACATTTGAGGACTTCACCAACATGCAGAAGCAGCAAGGTAGAGTCTGTAGATGTTTTTAACATGCCTACTTGAATAACAGTGGCTCCGGATTGCGAACTGTTGCTTCATAAATCATTTTTAATGTTACTGTGGCCACAATAATCACATACCATGGTGGATTTATGAATCAGCTGTACGATGGGTGGGACGGGTTGGACGATTTTAAGTTTTTGTGTCCAAGAGTGAGGTTGTCAATGTGCCTGTTTAAAAGATCAAGAGTTATTTTGCTTCCTTTTAAATCTGACCCTGAAATATAAAGCCATATGTGCTTAAAAATAGACAACATAAACAAATCGTTACAATTTTATCATTTAAATGTTGTGTAATTCAATTCAATTGTTTATTCCTATATCGCTTTTACAATGTAGATTGTGATAAAGCAGCTTAACATAAAAAGTTCTAGTAAATTGAAACTGTCAGTCCAGTTTTCAGAGTTGTAGTTCAGTTCAGTGTGGTTTAATTTCACTGCTGAAAGTGCAAACACTGAAGAGCAAATCCATCAATGCGCAGATAATTTTCCTTATAAAATATCATTATATATAATATATCATCGAAGTAATTGTAAATAAAATATTTATTTTTCTTCAGTGTGTTCCTTTTGAATTGATTTTCAATGATTGATTTTTTCTGTAAACTAAATGATTCCATTCTCAGGTACAGCTTATTGAATTACTGATCCGGTAATGATTATGAAGGAAGAACAACATTTTTTGTCCGCCTTCAAAAGAAAAACTTAGAATATAATTACAAAGCTTACATTTCGAATCTTGAAATGCAAAATGATTAAAGATTTAAGAGGACAGCTCACCCTAAAATTTAAAGCCAAATATACACTCAAAAATATATATATTTTATACATGTTACATATGTTACGTATATTATATTACATATATTACATATGTTAAAAGTGTTAAGTTAATGTAATCGATTTGTGTTGGGACAACATGAATGAATTGTGTGGAACCCTGCATTTTTACAGTGTAGTTTAAGTAGAAGAACATAGCAAAACATGGAAATAATATTTAACAATTATTTATTATTATTTAAATGAATGAATGCATATTATTACAAGACATTCTTTGCTATTTGCTGTAATAATCAGATTTTATTAACCCTTTAACTGCCCCACCAAGAAAAAAAATGTTGGGATTGCATTTCTGAACTCTTAATGTCACCAGTTAACACACTCAATGGATTTTTTTTCAACACATTCCATAGTTTCTAAAATATCAACCTCTACCAAATGGTAGATATGTCAGTTTGTTGTAAAATTAATGGAATCAATACATTTACTACACTGTAAGAAATTCTGGGTTCTACATAAATTATGATTTGTGTTGAAATAAATTAAGTTAGTTTTTACAAATTTAAGTGGATTTAACATAAAATATTAAGCTGTCGCCAAAAATGTTAAGAATAATGTTGTTTCAGCTCATTTTAAATAAGTTTTTTGAACAAGCAGCAAACATATTTTTTGAGTGTATGAAAAATCTGAAAATATAAACTGCAAGACCAATTTCTAAAAAAATAATCAAAATAAAACATTACTAAATCATCTTTATTTTTTGTAGTATGCCATAAAATATTTCAGATTCTCATTTACAATAATAAATTATTGTACAATTTTTACAATAAAACCAAAATTAAGTGTAGTTGTGCAACAGGATTATGTTTGATTGATTTTTTTTTGTAAGTACATTGCTGTGTGTGTAAACCAATATTTAATGCAGACATTCTTTAAAGGACTTTAACAGTCATTATTTAAAACAGTCAAAATATGGTCCACCAATTATGTTAAATTTTGTGTAAATGATTCATTCATTGATCAAACTAATTAATAAACTCATACATTTCAGCCCATTTCTCACACAAATCTCTCGTATGCCTTTAGAAGTCTCAGAGTAATGCGCTCATATTGATTTTATGATCATTTTGAATCTTGAAACGTCATGAGAGCAAATAAATCTTGTCACATTGAATCATTCAAAAGTAAATGTCTTCCTATAAATTTGGCTCTCACAAGTGTCTGATCGATGTCTCTTACTCAAAGCTAGCCTTATAGCCCAGATGATCAAATGTTGATCTAACTATTTTTTTCCCCTCGTCATAAGGTCAGAGTAATGTGAGCACAGTATTTTGTCTGAGTAGACATCTGTTTGTCATCACAAAGTTCTCGAAACGGATTAAATGTTAATTAAAGTTCTCGCACGGCTGACAAAATGTCGCGTCCCCTCCGCCACCATCACACCCCCGCAACCCCAAACTGATCGCCCTCCCTCTTCCATTAGTTGTTCTCCAAGCACTGCTGAAGCCTCTCTCACTAAAGCCTGACAACAGGGGAAAAACATGACATCACCGCAAGCTCTCCTTTCTCTTCTCTAGCAGAACAGAACCAGAACTCAGCTCAGTAATATTATCGAACGCATATGGAGCTGGCTCGAGCCTCAGCCAAGAGAGTTCTGAATATTATAGTTCCTATCCCATTCCGAGCCGTAGATCAGACTAAATTTTCAAAACAACAAACTGAGTGCCGGCCAATTTCTCATTAATAAAGAAATATGTGGTAGATATCCCACCGCTATCACTCAGCTCCATGTGTTTGACTTATTCACTGCGCGTATGTGCCAGTGATTGTTTTTTTCCTCCTTTCTATGAACGTATGCCCAAATGCTGTCTGTAATACTGAGAGAGAAAGGCCTCTGTTGACCAGACATGCATATTATCAAACTCAAGCCACATTTGCATTGAACATTTGTTACAATGTTTCTGAAATGGTTGCTGCTGACAAGACATGTAATTAGCTTTTTACACTAAGCTTATCGTCTGGTTATCGTCTCTTTTTAAAGCCAACTTTTTAACCCCAGGTTAAGCAGAATCTTACACAAGGGTTAAAGGGCTAGTTCAGCCAAAAATAAAAAATTTGTTATTCATTTGCTCACCCTTAGGCTAGTCGGGAAGATGAAGGTTACTTTTTCTTTAGTAAAACATTAAAACATTAAGCTGAAAGCACGTTCCTGGTGATTCTTAAAGTGCAAGTCAATTGTTGACATATAGAGGGCCAAAAAACAAAACAAATCAGGCAAAAAATTAATACTTGTCATTCCTGTCGATACACTTTTTAAATGAACAGACAGTGCAAGAAACAAACATTTATTAATTTTCTTTTCAGCTTAGCCCCTTTTATTAATCTGGGGTCGCCACAGCGGAATGAACCACCAACTTATTCAGCATATGTTTTACGCAGTTCCATCCGCAACCTATCGCTGGGAAACACATATACACTCATTCACACACACTCATACACTATGCTCAAATTTAGCATTCCCAATTCACCTGTACCACATGTCTTTGGACTTGTGGGGGAAACCGGAGCACCCAGAGGAAACCCATGTGAACGCGGGGAGAAATGCCAACTGCCAACTGACCTGTGTTGCCCCAATAAACATAAGCAATTTAAGTCATTCAAAATCATTAAATCACTTTAAATCGTTTAATAGTTTGTTGTTGTTGTTTTTGTTTCGGTGAACTTTAACCTCACATTTTAATGCCAATTGTATGTAGTTAGAAAAATGTCTGCATTTGAATATAAAGCTCAATTGTTTAGCAACAAACAGCCAATCAACCAATCATTAATTGAGCCTTTGCATTATTGAATACCTGTACGCTTTGTGTAGTCACATAAACTTTCATGCACAATTTGAGTGAACTTATGATGGTAGATAAGAATGTTTTGTTCTATACATATGCTTTGAAAAGGTTCTACTGAGGACAAACTGAACGGCTCAGTCTAGAAGATATAAGCCCAACTGATGTGCATGAGTGAGACAAGCCGTTATTTGAACAGGCTGCATGCTGTGCTCATCCAATCAATCATTCTGACACTGCAGATCTGCAAAAAAGAGCTTTATCCAGGGGTTTGTGAATGTACACTAACGTTTTGGGTTTTGGGAAAGATTTTTTCTTTAAGAAGCTCCTTACATTTATCAAGAAAAATACAGTATTATTTGGATTATTGTTATTTTAATTAATAGATTTGTTTTCTATTTTGTATTATTTAAAAAAATATGTCATTAAGTGTTTTATTACTATCAAAAATATGAACCATTAAACCATACATGATCACTCTTGAAAAAAGAGGTTCTTTATTGACATTGTTTGTTCAGTGAAGAATGTGTTACACCAGTTGAAACCTTCCTCTTGATAAAAGGTCAAACATTTTTTTAGATTATTAAAACAACAATCATACTAAGATTATTTGGAAGCCAATGGGTACAAGTTTTGGTTTTGGAATCCCAAATTGTATTTCTATAGCATCAATGCATAAAAAACATTTATGAGTGTTTAGATTGATGTGATGGTGTAATTAATGAGAGGATTTTTTTTTTTTTTGGTGCACTGTCCCTTTAACAACTTTAAAGAACAATCATTTAGTTACATAGGATGTGACTGAGATGAGCGCTCTGTTATGGGTTAATATGTGGCACTTGTTGCCAGCTTTGAACAAGCCTCTCTTGTACCCAGATGAAATGATCTCCCTAAGGAGCCACAGTGACTGCTCGCGGTCCACGAGATGAAATAAGAGATACGCTCTCAGTGTGATTGTTGGACAGTGCATGTGTTTTCAGAGCTGGCTCTGTCTCTTCTCCTCTAGTCTTTATGCGTAGGAACATACATCTCCACACTGTGTCTTTGGGGTTTGGATGTTTCTGAATGTTTGCTGACTCTGTTTTTCAGGAGGGAGCACTGGCACCTCTCCCACTACCTCCAGCACTGGTACTCCATCCCCCTCCGGCGCGACACACCTCCTCTCCCCTTCGTGCTCCCCTCCTACCTTCCATCTGGCACCCAACACCTTCAATGTGGGCTGCAGGGAGAGCCAGCTGTGTAACCTGGGCTTGTCTGAGTACCCCGCATGTGCCAGAAGCAACATGGCTGCCTTGCAAGGCTACGGAGGATTGGCTGATGGATCCTACGGCCGCCTCCAGACCACAGGAGGCGCTGTAGCCTCCGCCCAGGCCTCAGAATCCTTCTTGCCTCAGAGGACTTCCTCTCTCATTGCGGCAGGAATGCAGGGAGGAGCTCATGGTTCATTGGCCACTGGTAACAGTGGCAGCGGTAGCGGTGGAGGCAAGATGGATGCGTATGGAAGTCAGCTGGCCTCTTTTCCTGCGTCCCAACTGCAGTACGTCATGCAGGCAGGGGCCAGCTCAGCCTCTGGGTCATCGGCTTCATCCGGCTCTTCCTCATCCTCTGCTCATATGTTCTCTGGGAGCCATCATCATGTGCAGCAGAGCACATATAACGCCTTTTCCCTTCACAATCCCTATAACCTATATGGATACAACTTCCCGGCCTCACCGCGCCTGGCTGCCAGCCCGGAGAAGCCTCAGGGTGGCTTACTGTGCTCCTCGTCCTCCGCCGGAGCTTTTGCTGAACGCCAGTACCTGTCTAACGGTGGCATGGACAGTATGCATATGATAGGCAACCCCACTGGCAGCCAACAGGGGGCTGGCAGCTGTGACGGCCGGCAGTATGGCTCTTCTTCGCAGATGTCCATGCACATGGTTTGAAGCAATTGAAAAAGCAAAATAAACCAAAAACAGATCAAAATACCAAACACGAACAGCTGCTGCAGTTTTTATGCTCACCGTTTCTGGGTGTTCAGAGTTTTATTATTCAAAATGTCAACATTCAGTGTGGACTTTTTATCATATCACCACTTCATCAGACTAAAATGGAGTTAAAGTGTTCATCTCTTACATGAAATGGCTTCAACGCAAATGGATACACAAGATAAAAATGACCCATCCAACCTGACTGTTGTTGTTGCTGACTTGCCGACCTCAATGGTGTGCAAAACTGAACTGAAATAAAAGAGGTCGGAGATTTAGAAGATGGATTCTGTTGAGGATTCATATTTGGTGCAATAATGACAGCCGTAACTGTCCCACATGTACGAAAGACATCAGCTTGAACAAAACATATCCTCAAAACTGTGAGTGAATAAGTCAGACGTGTTGTGTTGATAATATGCAATGCTTGTCATAAAGTTTGTGATGCAATGTTTGAAGCTGACTGGCTCTTTCAGAGTCTCAGGACAGCCAAGTAATAACAGGGTTTCTGTATGTTTCTGACAATCTGTTACTAAATTGCCTATTGGTTTGGAAATGGCTTAACCATATCCCGAGTGGAACATAAACATATAAGCAATAGTGAATGCACGCAAAGCACATAGGTTTTAAATTGTTGTGTGGATAAAAACCATAGGAAGACAAGGTAATTATGCTTTGGAGTGTTTGTAAATGAATATATTTAAATGCTAAGCAATTATATGGCCAGTGTATGATGTTGAATTAAATCAGTGTGGGTGGAATGAACAAATGTTGTTTTAGGCTGTAAATACAAGTGCCAAGCACATAAAGCTCATCAAATAAACATTATAAGTTCTCTGTATGTTTTCTTAGGAAAAAATAATAATAAGAAAAAGAGCATGTTTTGTTGATTTTGGTTGTGATTTTGGTGTTCTATCATGCAGTGGATCATAAAGGGCACTTAGTTACCCCTTTTACAAGATGCAAGAAAAGCCTTTGGTATTTCCAGAATGTGTCTCTAAAGTTTTAGCTCAAAACACCTGTCAGATTATTTAGATTTTAGATTATATTAGAACAGTGTTTCTCATCCACATTCCTGGAGTACCACCAGCTCTGTACATTTTCCATGTCTCTTTAATCAAACACATCTGATTCAGTTCATCAGCAAATTAGCAGAGACTTAAAGACCTGTAATGGGTGTAGAATGGGTGTAGGAGACATCCAAAACATGCAGTGCTGATAGGCCTCCAGGATCATGTGACCCCACCAGTCCTATGCCACCCAACCAGCTCCGAGCTAGGATCGAATCAGTGACTTTCCGCATGGGAGTCGGTTGCTCAACCAAGGAGCATAATCAGAGGTCAGAGGAGTGAGGTTTACCTGCACAAAACTTTTTAGATGGCCTCTGCTACACATGGTTGAGAAACACGGATGTAGAATATGCCCATTTTGGTGTCTGATGATAATGTAGCTGTTTTTGTAACCTGTGACTTTAAATCCAAATGTCTGCTTCTCCTACGTTTTGTGAGATAAACAGCAGTCAGTGATAGAAACACGGGGATGAAGCTGAAATAAGGTCAGGAGACAAAAATACCTAGTATGTTTATTTGATGTATTTGAGTCTATTCAAGCCTTTCTGAAATGATGAGTCTCACACAAATGGCATTTGCAGTACACACATATTAGTGTTTACTGACACCATGCGACCGTGGTGGTTATAGCGGTTGAGAATTAGATAGTGATTTTACTCTCTTTATTGCAAAAATGCTCTGTTAAAAAAAAAAACAAAAAAAAAAACTTTTGAACTTATAAAATTAATTATTGAGGTGCAGCTGGTCACAGAGACTTCTAACAAATATTTTAATCCCAGTTTATTTGCAAAAAATTGTTCTGTGGACATGTGTATACATGTTATTATAGAAATATGGTGCCTGTCAATCAATTCGGTGGGCAGGAAAAACCACACTCCTACGTCAAGTTGCTATGCCCATAGCAACTTGACGTAGGAGTCCGTTTTTTCCTCAAAATCACTAGGATTTGGGTCCTATTTTAATGTCAGTAAATTTAAAAAAAAAAGAGACTTATCCTATTTATATCACTCTAATATGAGAGTGGACACACTATACCTACGAACCATTCTGTCCAAACAGCCTACAAAAGTTCCCCTTTAAGTTGTTTATTTGATCATGGCAAAACCCGGACATACTGAGAGTATATTTAGGACTATTTGAAAAGGTCAATACATTTTTTTTTAAACTACACGCATAATTTCACATAGAAAAAAGGAGAATTTATAAAGTCCTCAATCTGAAATATGAAAAAAGTTTTTACTAATGAAATGCAAGTATATCTCATGCCCTGTTATTTTCCCCTCTATTATAATCATGGGCTTGAGATAAAGAGAACCAGAAAACGATTATTTGAAAGTCAATATGTGTAAAAATAAATGAATAAAAACAAATGGATTGATCCTGCTGTTCACTTTGATATAAAGAAGAAAGAGAAAACCATGTGGATCAAATTCATCTTTTCACTGTGGTGATGCATATAAATGCCACCTGTTTAAAGAGAGCGAATGGGGGCAAGAGGGAATGGAAGAGAGCAATCTGTTAGACACTGGATGGGGGTAATTTCTACGTTTCTGGCTTTAATATGTCTGCTCTTAATACTTTTACAGTATGTATTTATGATCACTTCTCTCATGTCTGGGCTTTGGTCCTCATTATCCAAGCACAGGCTTCATTGATTTAAAAGCACAATCAGCATCCATTACATGGATGTCTTCAGAAGTGAGTAAAGTTTTTTCTTCTTCTCTCTGTTCTTCTTTTATTTTTCTTCTTTCTCAGATCACTTCCCATCATGTGCTCGATCCAGCCATGAAATATCATATCTGAATCGTCATCAGAAAGTAAACGGTGTGGAAGACCGTGGAGACATCTCTCAGTATTAGAAACACCTGTTTTCCAAGTGCAGCTCTAGTAATGACTGGATATTCAATCAAAGAGTGCATGATTTCATAATTTGGCACACCCCCATCTCTCTGGACATTATTTCCAATAATTATGCGCATTTATTTGTCTAGTAATTTGAAACAAATCTCTTCTAAAATTTCAAATCAGCTTGTGAAAATGAGACAATAAAGTAGAATGGACAGGTATAGTAGATGTAAAGAAAAGTACATTTGTTAAAGAAAAAAAAGATTTTGACCTTTCAGAAAAGCAATGCCATCCCATCAACCCAAACAAAACCTGATCTATGCTGACACTCAAGTTCCGAAAGGGTAATTAAAAAAAGATGTTTAATTGGAAAATCAGAAGTGTTTCTTCTGACAATCTGGACAGCTGGTTTAAAGTCTGGCCTTGTATAATTTGATTTCTGGTAAACTATTGCCCTCTTGTGTTTCTATTTCACATGATTCAACAAGCCCTGATCTTGTTGTTTGAATAAATAAGTAAAGATTCACCGTGAACCACATTATAGGCCTGTAATATAACAGTGTGCCAGATTACATTATCTTGTTAAAGGGCCTTTCTTCAACTACGGCCACTTTTAGCCTTGTGAAGTTGAGTAAAAAAACATGTTCAAAATTAACGTAACATTGCCTCATAGTTTTAAACAATTTATCTAGTTTTAAGATCAGTAAGAGGACAAACTTAGATAAGAGGAGAAACATTTTTCCATTGTGAACTGAACAAATGTCAATTCCACCACATCTCAATATACAGCTTTTATTTCAAAATTAAATAATTTATGTCAAAGATAATTTTTGTAACTAGTTTAACCAATCTCTCCACAATATATATATATATATATATATATATATATATATATATATTGTGGAGAGATTGGTTCTATATATATATATATATATATATATATATATATATATATATATATATAATTATACATTTGTAAATGAAATAAATTTGTTTTATGCTGAATTGTACACCTGTCACACTCTAAAATGTAATATTAGTTTGGTTAAGAGTTCATTAGAAAATACATTCATTCATTTATTCATTTTCTTGTCGGCTTAGTCCCTTTATTAATCCGGGGTCGCCACAGCGGAATGAACCGCCAACTTATCCAGCAAGTTTTTACGCAGCGGATGCCCTTCCAGCCGCAACCCATCTCTGGGAAACATTCACACACACACTCGAACACACACTCATACACTACGGACAATTTAGCCTACCCAATTCACCTGTACCGCATGTCTTTGGACTGTGGGGGAAACCAGAGCACCCGGAGGAAACCCACACAAAGGCAGGGAGAACATGCAAGCTCCACACAGAAACGCCAACTGAGCCAAGGTTCGAACCAGCAACCTTCTTGCTGTGAGGCAACAGCACTATCTACTGCGCCACTGCCTCGCCCTCATTAGAAAATAAATAAACTGAATTTGTAATAGAGCATGAACTTTATACATTGTGAATACACGTTTTCTGTGTGATGAGAACTTTTTAAATATTTGTTAAAAATGTGTGTGTGGTGATGGAAATGACATTTCAACAGTTTATTGTGGAAAAATAGCTTCACCGATTAGCTTTGAATTTATACTATCCTTTCATGTATACAAAATACACTTATTTACCTTAATTTTGTTTGGTTTTTAAAAACATCTTTGGTACAGCATGTTTGGAAATGATGTAGAATAAATATATTTCCTTATCAAGCAATATTTACCTTGATTTTTCTTCAAGTGTTGTTTATGAAAATTTAAAATCCCTCTATTTAGAAGATGTGCTCGGATGTCACTTTTTATTTTCATAGAAACCACCTAAATAATCTTTCACTGAAACTTTTTAGTGACATTACAGTGTTGTGGTGAAAACGACACTGATACTGTGCGACAGCTGTATTTTATATAAAAAATATTATTGATAATAGTCTCACATTAATAACTATAAAATATTTAGATTATTTCACTAGTGCTTAATTAAGATATATTAATAGATACCAGATAAATAATATTTTAAAACGTTATTTTCATTGTTGAAGCTTAAAACTCTGGGTGTGCGACAAGGTGAAAACAGTGATTTTGACACCTAAAAGGAGGTTGAATCTTATGAAAAAATATAATAGAAAGCAATAAACTTTTTTTAAATTTGGTTTTATTGTTAGTTTGACAAAGAAAAAGGAATTTGAACAAAATTATGTATATATATATATATATATATATATATATATATATATATATATATATATATATATATATATATATATATATATATATATATATATATATATGGATATATATGGATATATATGGATATATGATCAAAGGACATAATGGTGCCCGTAGTTAAACACATGGCTTTTTTTGGTTACTATGTATTACAGAAACTCAATACACCATGGCTACAGAATAAATTAACAATTTGTTATTTGTCTCTTTTTGACAGTTTCAAATAAATACTATCAACAACTCTTTTTATCTTTTTGCCTCTACCTTCAGTAATTTACTAATGTTACTTTAATTCCGTCGTTCATACCTGCAATTTTCTTTCATCACATTGTCAATGTTTAGTTGGTTTGGAATCTTCAAAGTGTCAAAGTTGCCTTGTATCACAACGTATCCACCTTTCTCCAAACTTGTACACTGTATGTTTAATTGTGGGTCACTTTTATTTTGACAAACTTCCGTTTAAAAAAACTGAAAGAAATTGTTTTAATTAATTATGTTGTACCAAAAATCCATAATTGAATGAGAGGTATGGTTTCCTTTGTGCTTTATTTTTTTGTCAGGAAAATAATTGGTACCACAAGGATAAATATGAGGCAAAAGCTCTCTTGTATCCACTTTATAATGTTCCATCTATTTTTACCCTGTACAACAACACATCTGCAATATTCTTCTGG